GGATATATATGGATTAAGGCCATAGGGATGTAGGATTTCATCCTGATATTAATATATTTGGTTAATTCAACAGATGGTTATTAATCATCTACTGTAGGACAGTCTCTGGGCTGTCTGTTGGAATACAGAGATTAATTCCTTTCCTTAAGGCTGTAATAATATAACATGTTATAGAAAAGAAAGTGTTATAAAGATTGTAAGAGAGATGTACAGAGGGTAATAGCAGTGGATCATATGATTGTATATTTCATCATTGGCCAGATGCCTAAAATTATGAGATAAGCCTTAAGTAAAAATGATTTCCCAGTTATATTAGTGTACATTAATTTAGCATAGTCTAATACTTCTGAATATGATAGTCTAATAAGAAAATTCTAAACTAGAATATATTCAGAATATAATGACTTGCAGTGACCTACTCATAGCTTATAATAATATATCCATTAATACCGAATTTCAGGATCTCTAATAAAATTGTAAAAATTACGATCTTAAATATTTATGTGCTATATAGGACTTGAAGTATTTTTGCTTTTCAAAGCAAATATTCTCCTTATAATCTTATGTTCTAATAAATTCATTTTTTATAAATAGTATTAAATAACTTTGGATCATTTTAGGTCTAATGCCAGAAATTGTGAGTTATTAAGGATCGAATGAATGGTGGTTTTGCTATATATTTGCACTGGGATTGGTAAACTTTTTGTAAGGGCATCAGATAGTAAATGTTTTTGACTTTGTAGTCTATATAAGTCTCTATTTCTAGTACTCAACTCTTGTTTTAGCCTGAAAGTAGCCACAGACAACGGATGAATGTACATGGCTGTGGTCCAGTAAAACTGTTTCTAAAAACAACTTGCAGAATTTTGCCTATGGGCCATAGGTTGCTAATTTGTGCTCTATGAGAAGGAGGTTGGTTAATAGTAATTTCCGAAAAAGAATTATTTATATAATTTCCCAAAAAGAATTGTTTATATAGTTGTCATTCCTTATTAATTTTTCAAAGATTTATATGTTATTTATTTATTTATTTTATTTTATTTTATTTTATGGCAGTCATCTTTTATTCTTCTTTCTCCAATTTTCTAACTTCTCATGGATATATTATCTCTTGATTTTTATCTATCTATCTATCTATCTATCTATCTATCTATCTATCTATCTATCATCTACCTACCTATTTCTTTATTTTACATGTCCATTCAAGTGTCTTTTTTTAAATAGGAGCACCCAGGCTAAAATGTCAAGAACTCTTGAATTACATCATGGATACAGTGAAAGATTCATCTGATGGTGCCATTTATGGAGCTGATTGTAGCAACATACTGCTCAAAGACATTCTTTCAGTGAGAAAATACTGGTGTGAAATATCTCAGCAACAGTGGCTAGGTATGTTTTAAAGTTTGTTTTCAGTGGATTTTTCCTTGTGAAATATTTCACCAAAGGAGCAGTTAGTCTATGGCCCTTAAACTGTATCACGGTTAAATAGTACTTTAATATAATTAAATGGTTATAGGATCTGATTCTAAATTTACATTTATTATATACTTCCTAAATTATTGTTACTGACAATCTATTAGGTGCCTGCTATCAGAACTGGAATTACAGATTCGAAAGATGCCATCCCCTATTCTCAAGGAATTATACCAGTCCAGGGCAGAAAACAAATAAACCAAAAATTATAATGCAATATAATATAGACATGTTTGAGTACGTAGAGTTCACAGATCAATGATATTTAAATTCAACCATGATTAAAGTAGAAAGAAGAAAACCAAGAGAGGTATGTTAGAAACGTGAAAGCAAGAGTTACAAGTTGGAAGGGATGTGACAATTTAAGTGTCGTAGAAATGATAAGACACAAGTATTCATTGAATTAGGTAATTAAGAGGTCACTGGTAAGGTATCAAAAGTGTTAGAATATGATATTTAGTACACACTGGGTCCTATATAAAACCTACAGGATATAGGACCCAGTGACTTTAAAGATAAACAGAGTGGTTGTCAGGGAGGAATTTAGTGTTGTTGACAATTTGTAGGTGAGAGATCCTGAGAAGACCACAAAGGAAGGAAGTTATGGTCAGAGACCGAAACGTTTGAGTTTATTATTTCAAAGGTTGAACATTTCTGGGTCTATATGGGTTTAATAGGTGCCAGGAAGGAATCTAGTGTTATTGACAGTTTGTTAGTTAAGAATTACTGAGAGACCACAAAGGAAGGAAGTTATAGTCAGAAAGTGAAACATTTGAGTTTATTGATTTCAAAGATGGAACATTTCTGGGTCTGAATGGGTTTAATGGGTGAAAATGGGATTTGATGGTAATGAAGTGACTTGAAGCCAAATGTCAAAGTCTTCTAATAAAACCACCTGAAATATTAGAAACTCAATAATTTCAGTGAAAAGTATTCAACATAAATTGTGCTAACTAAATTGAGAGACATTTATCTATATTCTTTACTGTCAGTGTATCATTTCAAAATGAGATATATGGACCATAAAAGCATGACCTAATCAGTGCCCTGCATTACACTGTACTGGTCCACATGAATAAAAGGCTTCTAAGCTATTGCATTAATTTCTAAGGTGTCATCTGGGGTTTGTGCTATTGCTTTGAACAGGAGGCTGTATCCCAAACACAGCCCTCAATAAGCCTAGTGATAGCCTTTGGAGAATAGGCCAGTGCTATCTAGGGTACTCCAAGAGGTCTCACCAAAGTGGTGCATCCTAAATATTTAGGATATTTGATGATTTTAGATTAATTAGTACTTAAAATAATGGGTCTCACTGAAACAATGGTAGTCCTTCTTTTAGTCTCTTTACTGTGATTCCATCATCTGACATGTTCTCTGAAATCCTCTTTTTATTTTTAAGCAAACTACTATCACTTCTAATAATCAGCCCTTTTGTTGAATTATTTTTCTAGTTAGCTCCCTTCCCTGAAACCTGCTTCTCTAACGAGGATTCTGCTCAAGAAGCGAAGTTTATGTTCAAAATACATATTTGGTAGTGGTTGTGATTGAAGCTATGGTTACTGATAAGATTGTTTAGGAAGGGATTTCTGAGTGAGGTGAGAAGATGGCCTAAGACTGGTGCAGCATTTCTGTGTAAATTTAGTATCATCTTGTTGAATTCTACAAAAAATCCTGCTGAGATTTTGATAGGGATTACATAGAATCTGTTGAACAATTTAGGAAGAATGGACATCTTAACAATGTAGACTCTTTCAATCCATGAACATGATATATCTCACAGCATAGGGAATGCAGTTAGCATTAATGTAATAGATAGGTGGAAAGCCAGAGAAGAGAAAGAGCAATTGGGTGGATCATTTTAGAAACTATATAAATGTCTAACCAATAAAATAAAATTTTTTTAAAAAGTCAGTGTTTTGTAATTATCAATGTATAGAATTTGTGTGTTTTTGTTAGATTTATACTCTGTTTGTAAATTGTACTTTTATATCATTCATTGCTCTTACGTAGACGTGCAGTCGGTTTTTGTCTATTGATCTTGTCTTCTGGGACCTTGCTAAAATATTAATAGATCTAAGAGCTCTTTTGTAGGTTCTTTGGATTTTCTATTTAGATAATCATGTCCTCTGCAAATAGTAGAGGATTTTTTCTCTTCATTTCTAGGCCACGTGGTTTTTATCCTTTTTCTTCCTTATATTGGCTAGGACCTCCACTATGATATATTTAATGGTAAAATGTATATAACAAAATTTACCATTTTAACCATTTTTAAGTTCGGTGGCATTAAGTGTACAATTGATTCTTGAACAGTGTGAAAATTAGTGGTGCTGACCTCCTGCACATTTGAAAATCCACATATAACTACATTGTCGTACAACCATCACCATCTATTTCTAGAACTTTTTTCATCTTCTCAAACTGAAACCTACCCATAAATAAGACCTCTCCCTTCTCCCCTCCCCCAGACCTTGGCAACTGTTCTACTTCGCTTCTGTGAATTTGACTATTCTAGCTACCATCTGGACATGAAATTATAAAATATTTGTCCTTGTCAAATGGACAAATTTTTCACTTAGCATAAGGTCTTCAGGTTTCATTCATGTTGTAGCATATGTCAAGAATTCCTTCTTAAGACTGAATATTCAATTAATGTACATACCACATTTTGTTTTTCCATTTATCTGTCATTGCACATTTGGGTGGTTTCTACCCTTTGGCTATTGTGAATAATGCTGCTATGAACATGAGTGTACAGATGGCTCTTTGAGTCCTGCTTTCAGTTCTTTTGGGTATAGATCTAGAAGTGGAATTGCTGCATTGTATGGCAAATCTATGTTTACTTTATTGAGGAACTGCCATACTTTTTTTTCTATAAGGGCTGTACCATTTTACATATCCACCAGCAATGTTCAAGTGTTTAAATTTCTCTACATCCTCACAAACCCTTGTTCTTTTTTTCTATTTTTGACAATAGCCATCCTAATGTGAATGTGTGCGAAGTAGTATCTCATTGTAGTTTTGATTTGCATTTCTCTGATGACTGATGATGTTGAACTTTTCATGTGCTTATTGGCCATTCTTATGTCATCTTTGGAGAAATGTCTGTTCAAGTCTTTTGATCAGTATTTAATCAAGTTTTTTTTTTTTTTAATTGTTTAGTTGTAGGTTCTTTATTTGTTCTGGATATTGATCCTTTATCAGATATATCGTTTGCAAATATTTAATCCTGTTTCATGGGTTGCCTTAACTCTGATGACAAAGTTTTTGATGAATTAAAGTTGTAAATTTGATGAGTACAGTTGATCTATTTTTTTTTTTTGCCTGTGCTTTTGATGTCATTTCTAAACAATTGCCAAATCCAGTGTCATGAAACTTTCCCCCGATGTTTTCCTCTAATAGATTTATAGTTTTTTCTCCAGTATGGTTTTGAGTAGGAGTAGTGAGAGCAGACATCTTTGTCCTATTCCTGGTTTTAGGGGCAAGTATTCAGTGTTTGACCATTAAGCGTATTAGCTGTCGGTACAGGTCAAGGATGTTCCGTTCTATTCCTAGTTGCTCATGGTCTTTATCAAGAGTAGATATTGAATTTTGCTAATTTTTTCTGCATCTACTGAGATAATCTTATGGTTTTTCATTGACACCCAAAGTTTACAGTTTACATCAGAGTCACTCTTGGTGGTGTATATTCTATAAGCTTTGACAAACGTATACTGATAAATGTATATCCACCATTAAATTATCATACAGAACAGTTAGTTTCACTGCCCTAAAAATCCTCTGTGCTCCACCTGTTTATCCCTCCCTCCAGTTTCTAACAACCACTGGTCTTTTTACTATCTCCATAGTTTTTCCTTTTCCAGAATGTCATATAATTGGAATCATACAGTATGTAGTCTTTTCAGATTGACTTCTTTTACTTAGTAATATGCATTTATGTTTCCTCCATGTCTTTTCATTGCTTGATAGCTCATTTCTTTTTGGCACTGAATAATATTTTATTATCTGGATGTGTCACAGTTTATCCATTCACTTACCGAAGGACATTTCAATGTGCTTCCAAGCTTAGGGAATTATGACTAAAGCTGCTATAAACAACAGTGTGCAGATACATTTTCAAATCATTTGAGTAAATATCAAGCAGTGTGATTGCTGGATTATATGGTAAAAATATGTTTAGTTTTATAAGAAACTGCCAACTTGTCTTCCAAAGTGGTCATTGTTAATTTTTGTATAAAATATCAGTAAATCTTAATTTTATTTGTAATTAATTTTAATTTTAAATAGTTCTAATATTTTGTTCTGACACTGCAATGGATTATCTCATACACTCCTATTCAGAGGGTGCAAGCTCTTGCCTTGTGGCATTTGTCCTTGTCAGAGGCTGTCCTCTGTATGACTGGTTTCTTCTCATCCTTCAAGTCTCAGCTTAAATGTCACTGCAATTTTCTGAGTGCTCTTCTAAATTTCTTTTTATTTTTTATCGAAGTACTCTGTTTCCCTCATAATACTTTTGTGAAAATGAACAACACACTTCAAAATAATTCATGGGTTAAAGGAAAAGTCTTGAAATCAAAGCATAATAGAACTGAATGAAAAATGAAAGTTACAACATATCAAAATTTGTGTACTGCAGTTAAGTTTTGTCAAAAGGATAATTTATAGCATTAAATGTCTACATTAGAAAAAAGGAAGGATCTTAAATCAATGATAAGAGTTTCCATCTCAAGAAACTAGAAAAACAAACCCAAAATCTTCCAGCAGAAGAGCAGAAATAAATGAAATTGAAAACAAAGAAACACTGGAGAAAAGTTTATGAAACAAAAAGCTGATTCTTTGAAAACATAGAGCCTCTAGCAAGAGTGACTAATATAAAAACAGAGGACAGAAATTAATGATATTAGGAATGAAATGGGATATAATTGCAGATCCTGCAGCTATTAAAAAAATAAGGGAACACTGTGAAGAGCTATACACACATAAATTTGACAACTGAATTTAAATAGACCAATTTCTTAAAACCACACACCATCAAAACTCACACAATATGAAATAGATAATCTGAATGGTTCTTTAACTGCTAAAGAAATTGGACTTATAGTTTAAAACTTTTCACAAAAGAAATCACTCTTACCACTTCTATTCAACATTGTACTGGAGGTTCTAGCCAGGATAATTAGGCAAGAAAAGCAAATAAAAGGCATACAAAAGAAGCATGCTTTGCAGATAGCATGCTTGTCTTATAAAGTCCCAATCTACATTTTATTATGTAATTTGGGATTTTATTTTATTTTCTTGACTCTAGAAACTCCTTTTTAACATCATGTTTAACCATCTGCTCTGAGCTTTTTCTGTCATTGAATTCATGGAGGAGGTAAAATCATCTGAAGGCTTTTTTGAAGAAGTTGGTCTTTATTCTTCTGAGCTTTTATTGATGTCTTATATATGTTTTTTACCATTTAACTAGGGCAGTATGTGGATTCTTTTAGAATTGGGGTAATTACCCCCAACTAACATAATAGCCCTGAAGCTTGAGCTTTCATCAGAGACAATTGCATTTTGGGTTTTCCTATTTCACCTCTCTGCTCCTGGCAAGTAATAAGAGGGAAATGATCAAGATAACCCCTCCTTTTTTCTAATCTCCAAATTTGTATGTATTAATGTAAATTTTTTTACCATAATGTAATGTATGTAGTGGGTGTAGAGTTCTATAAACTAACGTCAGATATGATGGGAATCATTTGAAAATCATTTGGTTTTGTTTTTTTTACTATTTAATGTTTGAGGTATTTATAGTGTTCTTATTCTTTTTTTTATATTGCTTATTTTAAACTATTTCTGTAGAATCATGTACCATCCACAGTGGAAAAGGAAGCTACTCATAGGTATTCTTACTTTACTGAGGAGTTTATGGGAAGAAGATCATGCGTTAGCAACTTTGCTTTTCATTGTGTTAGGAGATAATTCTCAAAGCATCTCACATTTCTGCAGATGTTATGAGCGGACACACTACTTTTTTCTAGACTATTTTTTAAAGTATTCTTGTATAGTGAGTCCTGGAAGATAGGGATGATGATGGAGATAACTGATAGTTTCCTCCAGAGCAAAGGACAGATTTGCTTGCAGCCCATTCGTTATAAAGACTTGGGATTTCTCTCCTGTAACGTAGCTCATCATTTGTACTTGTGTCACCTGTCCCTCTTCACATTGCCTTGGGATTGAGGAATTTATGCAAAAATGAAAGTACTCTTACTACTCTTATTGCTGTGAGAAATAAGTTCTCCATTATTAGTCAAACAGCATTAAAACAAAACAAAACTTGGAGTGTGCACTGTGTCAAGTGCTTTGTTAGGCCTGTATGAGGGAACATAGGATTAGAGAAGGAACATAGGGAAGTTTATCTGAAGTCTGGTTTTTAAACTGGTGTTTGCGTTCTCTGTAGCTGTTCCTGTCTTGAAGGCAATTTATATAAAATACAATGAAAGATTGACAGAATGCTTTTATTTATTAAATATAAGTATAATTTTAATCTTTTTTACATGTGGGATTGTTGAAATTTAAATTGAATTGTGACGTTTAAGTTAAATAATTTGATCGGTTTCTTTTTAAAAATATAACATACATTTTTGTTTGTCTTTTCAAGAATTATTCTCTGTGTACTTCAGGCTGTATCTTAAACCTTCTCAAGACATTAATAGAGTTTTACTGGCTAGAATAATTCAAGCTGTGACTAAAGGATGCTGCTCACAAACTGATGGATTGAATCCCAAATTTTTGGATTTTTTTTCCAAGGCTATTCAAAATGCAAGGTAATCTAATCTCTTTTTGTTTCGTTTTATATTGAAGATCCATTTGATCTTGGAAGACTGTGTTTTAGATTCAGTAACTAAAAATACTACCAATTTTTTAAAAATTGGCTCATTGTAGTAGAACTAGTGGATTTCCAAAGAAAGTATTAGGTCCAGTACTTTCTGAATATCCAATATACAGAACATGAAAGGATGTTCTTTCTTCAGTGAGAGATCTGTCTTTTCTAATGACAGGAAGAGCTAAATATCCTCAAGTAGTTTTATTTTCCCCATTTTTGAGGATAAGAATAAAATAGTATATTTTGGAAGTATCAATATCTTACATTTGTGTGGCATTAACCAATTTATAATGTAAAACATTTTATAAATGGTAGGTATTATAAAACAGTTTCGTGTAATTTTATACAATATTTCAGTAGCAGGGAGAGCAAACAGGAATAATCTTTAGCATCAAATAAGAATTTTTGTTGTTGTTGTGTAGTGCTGCTATGATGTTTTTTTTTTCTGAATAGTTCTGAAATTAATGCTATTGTTATTTGAAAATTAGATTTTTTTCATTGTGCAATTTCATAACTGTCGTCACTTTGTGTATCCACATTCCCCCCATCCCTGCCCTCTGTTACACCAAGTTGAGTCTGTTTATTTTCTGTTACAGACAAGAAAAGATCTTTGCAGGTCTAAATCATATCTTAGCGGCATTTATTATCTTCCTCAAGACTTTAGCTGTTAATTTTCGAATTCAAGTGTGTGAATTAGGAGATGAAAATCTTCCTACTTTGGTTTATATTTGGACTCAACACAGACTTAATGATTCTTTAAAAGAAATAATTATTGAATTATTTCAGCTGCAAATTTATATCCATCATCCAAAGGGAGCCAAAACCCAAGAAAAAGGTATAAAGGAAATTTTTGCTGTTTTAAATTTGCTTCTTCATTGAAACATAGAGGCTTAAGTATGAAATTTGTACTTGGTAGGAGGTTATGACCATCTTCTGAATTCCTGTGCTTGGTAATAGTATTTGTCATAATGATAGTGTTCACACTTTTTTTTAGATTTTGAAGCTGTGGTAGCTAATCATATGACTTACCATTTGTTTAGTACAATGCTAGATATTATGAAAAATACAAACATAAGACACTGTTTCCTCTAGGAGCTGATTATGCAGCAATAATTAGTTGCTAAGAGGTATGACACTAAAAGAATTTAGAGAAGACAGGATTTTGTTTACATATAGCTTTTATTAGAAAATAAAATAGATAAATGTGGACTGAGAAGATATTAGAGAAAGAGAAGATATTAGAGAAAGTCTGAGATTTTGATAGAGTTGATTCGAGAAAACAACCAATTTGATTAGTCAGTTCCTGAGGAAGATATGTACATAGAGACTCATAGTTATTTCAATCCGCTGTTTGCTATGAAAACCAGAAATGAATAACCCATTTAGCCTTGATTTCTTTACATTTGTCTTTTATCAAGAGAGTATTGCTTGGTGTAGCTCCATTCAGTAGATAGGAACTTTATTGGGTGGAACTGGAACTGAATGAGTTTCCTCATGCTCAGGCTACGTTTGCCTTTGGGCTTGTGCCAGCCTATGGACCAATTCATCATGGCTAGTTTAATGACCTTATTAAGAAATCATGCTTCAATGAGTAATGGCAGCTAAAACGGGAGAAGTATTGTAGCCACTTTTATGTATGTTTCATGAGTTCTAGTATTTATGGTTACATGTATTTGTAGCCCATGAAACCACTGTGAGTCAAAAAGTAGTGGCTTTTCTTAGTTTTTCATCTTTCACATAGTCTCACCAGGATGAAAATCAGGCTTATTAGGAGATGGTATGACATATATAGAGTTGTAGTTAACTGCATATTTAGGATGAATTAAATATCGGCAGATTGATGAAGCTGCCAGAAATGCTAATGTAGTTTTAGGCTATGTTAATAGATTTCATGGGTTTTTGTTTGTTTTGGGGAAGTAATAGCCCATTGTTCCCCATACTGGTCAGTTCACAGTCAGCGTATTATGTTCATCAGATTTTGTAGAGTGAGCATTTTAAGAGGGCCTTAAGTTGACTGGAGTGTGTCCAAAAAAAGAGGACTGGGATGATGACAATTCTGGATGTCATTTGTGTGCTAAAGGAACTGGTAATGTTTTTCATTTCAACTAAGATAGAGAACTTGGTCTTCATGTAAAAGAGGGAATATATTAATTGTATTTGCCTTAGGGAAGAGAAGATATTAGAGAAAGTCTGAGATTTTGATAGAGTTGATTCGAGAAAGATCAGAATATAAAGAATATTAAAATTAATACAGTTTACTGTGTGTGAAATAGACACCTTTTTTTAGTAGAGCTTGTCAAGGATATTGTCAGAAGAGGCATTAGTACTGAATTGAAGGTTGGACCAGATGTTTTCTAATGTTTCCACCTTAACAGATGAATAGTTTTGTGAGAGTTGGCAGTACAAATGGAGTGTATATATAAATTATAACTTTTTAAATTACAGGTGCTTATGAATCAAGAAAATGGAGAAGTATCTTATACGACTTATATGATCTGCTAGTTAATGAGATAAATCATATAGGGAGCAGAGGAAAATATTCTTCAGTATTTCGTAGTATTGCTGTCAAGGAAAACTTGATTGAATTGATGGCAGATATCTGTCACCAGGTACAGTAGTAGGTCTTGTCACATTTTGAAATTTCCCATTAATTTTTCTTTTCCTGGGCTTTTAAAATCTGCATTCTGATTTAAATAAAAAAAAAAAAACATGTAAAATTGCTCTACATATAACTGCTCCTTTCAAAACACCATAAATATTTGGAATTGCCTTCTCACCAGAAAAGATAACTCTGCTATATATATAAACTGATGAACTTTTCCATTCTTAAAAGATTGTCTGTAGGAAATAAGTTCACCTTAACCCTAAATTTTCTTCTTTTTATTCTGAGTTAGATATCACATAGCATAAAATTCACTATTTTAAATTCACTATTTCAACATGTGTACCCATCACCACTACTCAATTCTGGAACATTTCCATCAGCCTCAAAACAAACTTTGTACCGATTAGCAGTCAGTCCTAATTCCCCACTTCTCCTAGTCCCTAGCAACCAACCACTAATCTATTTTCCGTCTCTATTAATTTCGCCTATTTTGAACATTCCATATAAGTCAGCGGTCTCCAGCCTTTTTGGCACCAGGGACTGGTGCTCCTATGGGAATCTAATGCCTAATGATCTGAGGTGGACCTGAGGCGGTGATGCTAGTGCTGGAGAGGGGCTGCAAATACAGATGAAGCCTCACTTGCTGCCTGCCACTCATGTCCTGCTGTGCGGCCTGGTTCCTAATAGGCCATGGACTGGTACTGGTCCTCAGCCCAGGGGTTGGGGACCCTGGGTGTAAGTGGAATCATACAATATGGCCTTCTTTCACTTAGCATAATGTCTTCAAGGTTTATTCATTGAATCGGTATTTCATTTCTTTTTATCACTGAATGATATTCAGTTGTATGGCTATGTTACATTTTGTTTATCCATTCATCAGTTGATGGCTTAATGTTCTTTTTAAAGATTTTTTAAAAAATATAGCTAACATATAAAATTGCACTAGTTTCAGAAGTGTACACCATAGTTATTAATGTTTCTTAAGTAAAACTTTTCCCCCAGACATTTGATTAACATCCTAGGTAATTTCATTTGTCAAATATTTTATTAATGCTAAATTTATGATTTAATTCCTTTGAAAATAGAGGTTTTTGCTTTACTTTTACATATCTTGGTGTGCTTAGTAAATGTTACGAGGAAATAAAACTAACACTTTATTTGATAATATTTGCTTTCTGGAGAGCCATTACCGTCATGCAAAATGTTTGCTCATTACTATATGATCATATTTATATATTTCTATAACTTATTACTCTTGCTTTATGATATCCCTGTATCTTCATTTGAGGAAGAATAATCTTTTCCAAATGAACAATTAGAAAACAATAGCAATGTAAAAAAAATAGGTTTTCCTTTTTTAATTTTACAGGTTTTTAATGAAGATACCAGATCTTTGGAGATTTCTCAGTCCTATACCATCACACAAAGAGAATTTAATGCTTACAGTGTACCTTGCAAAAAGAGGAAAATAGAATTAGGCTGGGACGTAATAAAAGATCATCTTCAGAAGTCACAGAATGATTTTGAACTTGTGCCTTGGTAAAATGTCACTTTTTTCCTCTTTCAGTGTCATTTTAGTCTCATTTAGTTTTTCTATAAGACCTCGGACAGAATCTTTTAATATTATTAGCTAGAATTAGGTCATTTGTCTACTTCCAAACCGGTCACTGACAAAGGAGAAGGTGATCCCAGGACGCGCTGAGATCAGCCACTATGGTTCATCTGCTAGGGTGAGGGACAGGGCCACCTTTCTTAAGCATATTACCATAACAAGGAAGAAGGGAGAATGGCTGTCTAGTAGGCAATCAGTGTGTGCCTCATGGAACCCACTGAGTTGTACACCTCAACACAAAGAGATGTTAGCATATGTAGCACCTGCTAATAGGATTAGATTAGGAAGAAAGTAATTTAATAATCTTTTAACAATCTATGTTTTAACAACCTAAGGGAAATATATGAGAGCTTACCCAGGTAGCCAGAAAAGTTGTCAGTCTTCTTGCCACTTTAGGAAATAGGGCCTAATAAAAATTAAGAGTCAGTATACTCTTGAGATTAGTATGGAAAATGATGATGGTGATACTCTAGTATATTATAATGGTAATGTGTCTATATATTTATTTTCTTTTAACTTGTTAATGGAATAGAATAATTTTCAAATTAATTATATTTTTTTCTTTTAGGTTACAGATTACAACCCAATTAATATCAAAATATCCTGCAAATTTACCTAACTGTGAGCTGTCACCATTATTAATGATACTACACCAGCTTCTACCTCAACAGCGACGTGGGGAACGCACACCATATGTGTTACGATGCCTTATGGAAGTTGCTCTGTGTCAAAGCAAGAAATCAGATCTCGAAAGCTCACAAAAGTCAGATTTATTGAAACTCTGGATTAAAATTTGGTCTATTACCTTTCGCAGGATAAGTTCTGAACAAATACAAGCTGAAAACTTTGGCTTACTTGGAGCCATAATTCAAGGGAGTTTAGTTGAAGTTGACAGAGAATTCTGGAAGTTATTTACTGGATCAGCCTGTAGACCTTCATGGTAAGTTGTCTATGCATTGTATGAGATTTTGCAGTTTTCATTGCGTGCGTGCGTGCGTGTGTGTGTGTGTGTGTGTGTGTGTGTGTGTATTTCCCAACCCCCTGATTTTTAGAGTTTGTAACTTCAGTTAAAGATTGTTAAATTCTATTTCAGATGCTTTTTGATGCTTATCCAGGAAGTGCAAATAAATAAATGCAAATTTAGTTTCAGATGTGGAGAAGTTACTAAGGCCAGTTTTAAAGAATTAAGTGTTTAAATATTTTTATCTGTAATTTGACAATTACTTGTTTGCTCAGGATTCATAAACCTTATATTTTAATAGTACTACGTCCTCTAATCAGGAATTTTCTCAAATGCAGTCAAACTTTTTACACTTTCTTGTGTTCATCTAGTCAACAGAAGTATACAACATGTCCACCATGTGCCAGGCACTGTCCTAAGCATTGGTGGCCTGGTGATAGACAGTCAAGGTTTCTGTCCTCAAAGAGATTACTTTTAACATTAATCATCTTTTGTTTTGTTATAGTCCTGCAGTATGCTGTTTGATGTTGGCACTGACCATCTGTGTGGTTCCAGAAACAGTAAAAATGGGAATGGAGCAGAATATATGTGAAGTAAATAGAAGTCTTTCTTTAAAAGAATTAATAATGAAATGGCTCTTATTCTATCAGTTAGAGGATGACTTTGAAGACAGGACAGAGCTGCCTCCAACTCTTCACAGGTAATTTGAGTTCATTAGCATGTTGAGTTCATTAGCTGTTTTTTGGGGTTTGTTTTATAAGGTGCCCTCAATTATTTTAAGAAACTAGATGGTTTTATTTCACAGTGATAATGCAGGATTCCCAGAGCTAGCCCTAAAAATATTAAGTAGTCCCCTTGTTTTTACAGCGTTCTGCATTTTTGTACCTGGATCTTTGTCCAAGTACTTTGTTCTTGTCTCTCTGTCTAGTCAGTGAGGATAAGGGCTTAGGATGTGCACAAAGAATATACATGTAACTCTGAGCACTTATGTGACCCTTCGTGACCTTCTGTAAATAGGTCTGTCTGAACATATATTCGGTTCCAGTGTATTCTGGAATCATAATGACAGTATCTTCTGAGTGAAATGTGAAATCGGTGGTGGGAGGAGAAACGAGAAAAAGACAAAATGGGACTTAGCACTAGGATGAGGAGCAGCTTGCCCACTTAAGCTTTCCATAGTTAGTAATTGGAACTGAATGGTTGGAGAACAGACCCTGGATCCTAGTGCTTTCACTTTAATTTCATAATTATTTTGTTTCAGAAATGAGCTTTAAAAATTGGACATGTTTCTGCTTCTAGGAAGTATTGAGAACAATAGTAACAAAAAAATGTATGCACTCTAAATAATTCTTTCAGATGTTAAAAAATTCCTTATAAATGAAAGCAATTTTAATTTTGAATGCAAATTTTAGAGGTCAGTATTAAAGCCAAACATGGATGTTTAATTTAAAGACTACTTTAGATGACTTTTGGTCTTCTAAGTAAAGGTTTTTAATTTGCTTTACAGTGATTTTCCTCATCTTGTACTGGAGAAAATCCTTGTGAGTCTCACTATGAAAAACTGTAAAGATGCAATGAATTTTTTCCAGAGTGTGCCAGAATGGTATGTTGTCTAACAGAGTTCTGTTAAGATATAACTTTAATTGCAAAGATAAATAATTTTAGCAGAATAGTAACTACATCTTAAAAATTATGAACTAAATTGGTCAAGTTAAAAAAAAATCACAACTGTTAGCCAGGGAAAAGTTTCTTTTAATTCAGTGTTTGCAATTTATTTGCTGTAATTTTAGATCTAGTTTATTATTTTTTAATGCTTTATAGTGTGACATGTGACATTTGCTAATGGAAGAAGTAGAATGGTTACGATGGGAAATTAAGAACAAAAAAATTATGTGAAACGAGTTCCTTAAAGGTATGACTCATTTTTATATGTCAATTAAAATCTGATTTTGTTAGCTTTAAAAACTAATGATAATCGAGGAAACGGAAAACAAAAATGAATCCAAAAACCTCATTTTAGTTGATTGACTCAAAGGGTTATGTTTATTACTGTGACTGAAGATGACGCATTGGCATGTTTATTACTGTGACTGAAGATGATGCATTGGCATGAAGATTGGCATGAAGAATCTCCTTCAAGAGGGCATAAGATGAAAGAAATTCTACATGTTGGAGAAATCAGAGATTGAAAAGGGAAATGTTTTTAGATAATGTTATTCTTCAGGTTTATACCTGGTGTTATGGTGTTCTTTTTAATATTTTAGGGGGGGATTTATTTTTGAGATCATAACTTATATTTCTTTTGTCCATCTATTAGTAAAATTTGCTACTGAATAACGAAATTTGGTACAAGTACGTACCAAAGTCCAAAGAAGAGAAGCATTTAAAAGAATAATTAATTGTATAAGCAGTCTTTGAATAATGTAGACTCTGAGTTAATGTTTTCATTTGTAATATATTGGTGCTGTATGAAGGTAAAGTATAAGGTAGTTTGATTATAAATTAAAGATCTTACTTTCTTGAAGTGAACAACACCAAAAAGATAAAGAAGAGCCTTCATTCTCAGCAGTTGAAGAATTATTTCTTCGGACAACTTTTGACAAGATGGATTTTTTAACCGTTGCGAAAGACTGTGTTGTAGAAAAGCACCAATCCAGTATATGCTTTTCTGTCCACCAAAATCTCAAGGAATCACTGGATCGCTATCTTCTGGGGTTGTCAGAACAGCTTCTAAATAACTACTCGTATGAGGTGAGATTTTCAAAAAAAAAATTAAAGCCTGTATTTGATTCCACTTTGGTAGACTGTTAGGAAGAAGAAATGAACAGGAAAGGCACTAAGAGTGGTGAGAAACTTCCTTTAAAAGCATAGTGACAGTACATGTGTGCATGTTGAGAAAACATGAAAAAAGGAAAACTGATGAATAATTTGGTATTTTCAATGTACCAAGATTCTGGTAGACACTAAAGAAGTAGAATTCTTTAGGTGAGTTAATGGGGAATGATAATGGTTTTGAGCATAGCAATTATTTGATGAAAAGAACTTCGCATTAAGTGGTGGGAGATGTTACAATAAAAGGACATAATTGAAACTGATCTAATAGATTTTGGTGGTGCTCGAAGAGGCAGAAGTGTTTATTGTAATAAATGAACTAGCAGTCACCCATATTTTAGAAGTCATGTAGTAATTTCTCATATCACTTCCGTTGTCCTCTTAAAATTCTCTTCATGTGTGCTATTGTCTTGCCAAAACTCCCATGTTTTCTACCCATTTCTCTATGTTCGAATCATCCACATGTCAAAATCCTTGCTAAAGCCTTTCTTAGATAACCTCAGCCATAATAATTCATCTTTTAATTTTTATAGTACTTAATATTTCTGTTTTTAAATGACAGCATTTTCTTTGTACCATAATTTGTGTATATGTTTTATATGTAAATGTTTCTTATATCATGTTATAAGCTCCTTAAAGGACATATTTTTTTAATCTTTATATCTGCCATGATGCCTTGTTACATGGTAGATGATAAAATATTTGTTGAATAAAATAAAACCTAAAAGCTACTCAAATGAGTGAATTCAGTATTTAGAGATAGTGAGCTAAAGAGCCAGAGAAGGGACAGTGTGCCTATTTCATCTATCTGCCTTACCCTCAATTCTGACATTCTTCTGGATCACAGTTGTAACAACTTCCATTACAAAATAACACGGACTTCTGTGTTTTCCCCTAAAATGCCATTACCTACAATATAGGATCAAAAAATCCAAAAATCTTATTTTTCTGGGTAGTCTTTGCAAATTCTTACATAATTCTATAAAATTGGCTAAAGCAGTATCTACTTTGAAAAATATTTGTGCTAGTCCATGGACTCTAAAAAGCTGAATAAATCAAGGTTCTTGTTCTTTAGAAGCTCAAAATGTCATTTTAATGTCTCAGTATGAATCTAATTTCTGTTTATGTTCTAAGACATTTATTTGCCTATCATATTTTTCCTTCTTATCTCAAATAGTTAAGGGCCAGGTGTGCAGTACACTGTGCCACTTTAAGAGGAGAGATCTTAGCCATTAGGAGATAACTTCTATTTTTCCTGAGAATTCTGGTTATCACAACTCTGCAGATCCTTCTCTCATTTTTTTTTTTTTTTTCAATTTTGAACAATTTATTTTGGAATTAGGATCATGGTTCATGTTGACTTCACATATGGAATTTAATTTTTTTAAAGCATTTTATTATTAGTTTCAAGTATACAGTACATTGGTTAGAGATTTATGATTACCCTGTCACTCCTCTGGCTCTACACCTAGCCATTACATTACTGCTGACTATATATTCCCTATGTCGTGCTCCTCATCCTTAAGACCATATCTCAATTACTAATTTATACTTCTTTAGCCCTTCACCCCTTTGTCCAAGCCCCGCAACTCCCCTCCCCTTTGGCAGTCACCAGATTGTCCCCTGTATTTGTGAGTCTGTTTTTTGATTAGTTTGTTAATTTTGTTCCCTTAGATTCGATATATAAGCAAATTCATATGGTATTTGTCTTTCTCTGACATATTTTGCTCAGCATAATAACCTCTAGGTCCATCCATGTTGTTGCATGTGTTAGGACTTCATTTTTTTTTTCATGGCTGAGTAATATTCCATTGTATATGTGAACCATGACTTTTTTATTCAGTCGTCTGTTGATAGGCGTTTAGGTTGCTTCCATATCTTGGCTGTTGTGGATAGCACTGGATTGAGCATAGGAGTGCATAGATCATTATGAATTAGTATTTTGATTTTCTTTGGAAAATACCTAGAAGTGGAATTACTGGGTCAAAAGGTAGATCATTTTTAATGCAGAGATCTCTTAAATGCTTTTTAGAGATGATTGGAATTATGCCACTATTAATTCAATTAATTGAACTTTTATTTCTTAATATATACATAAAGTTTGTTCTTATATGAGATAATCATAGAATACTCAAAATTATTTATGAACTATATATATTTATTTGTGTTTTACTTTAAGACTACAAATACAGGAACGCTTGTTCGGTGTTCAAGTCTTTTGGTGGGTGTTCTTGGTTGCTATTGTTTCGTGGGTGTAATAACTGAAGAGGAAGCATATAAATCAGAATTATTCCAGAAAGCTAAGGTAGGAGAATTTATGCAAATAAAATTCTGGATTAAGTTGAAGGAAATATATTCATGGGAAAATTGGTGTATTTATTTGGAAAACATAAATTTTATGTAGGTTAACCCTTTCATTTATGCAATCTGAGAAGAAATGATACTATGTATCTTTAACATTTGAAATTATTTTAAGCCAACTATAAATATAGTAATTGAAATAATATCACATTAAAATTTAATCTCATTAACAAAAATATTGTTTTTTATCTGTACTTTTAAAAGTTTTTCCTATGATCAATTATCCTAAATAATCCTTAACTATGAGTGTTAATCAAGTAGGTCCACAGCATGAAACTTATTTCATCTCTGGGTACTACTCTGTCAGTTGCCTGATTTATAAGAACAAGGTATAAGATTTGTCATTTAGAAAAATTGTTTATAATTTTTAATTATACTATAAACCAAGTATAACTTCTTGAAGCACTTAATTTTCCCATTAAGTAAAACTTTAAAAAGGAATAACTAAACTATAATTTTAACTGGAATTTAGATTTTTCCTTCTTTTATTTTTAATAGTCTCTAATGCAGTGTGCAGGAGAAAGTATCACTCTGTTTAAAAATAAGACAAATGAGGAATCTAGAATTGTTTCCTTGAGAGAAATGATGCATCTATGTACAAGGTGCTTATGTAACTGTACCAAGGTAAGATGTTCTCTCTACTTGACAGTATAGCCTAACTGAGGGGTTGGTAACTGGTTGGTGTTATTTTTTTCTTTTTTGGTCCATTCATAAGTTTATACACTGATTTAAAATTAAATTGGTAAATAAAGAGTAGTATCCAGAGGAATAAAGTAATAGGTACTCTGAATTCCTCATTAAACTAATTTCATCATTTCAGGAAGGTTTCTGAGATGATCTTCCCACTTTTAAGTACTTACTATAGAGGTGACTCTTTTATTGCCAGGATATTTTCATTTAATAAAAATTTGTTGACTGTTAGCTATGTGATGTGCATACCACGATACCAGGGCTAGTGAGCACCACAAAGATAAACAATTCTGGCACATAACATTACTCCTTTTGTCCAGAGAGTCTTACATAAAATTTGGTAGAAAGAGTGCTGCTGTGTGTAGTCTTTGTTTTGATTTAGAGTGGGCCTGACAGGTACCTAAGCCAGGCCAGAATGTGGATAATAATTGGATACATTTTTGGAATCTAATATTAAGTACATGGCCATACATTAATATTATCAGCATGTATTTTTGGTTTTGGATTGTGTTTTTTTATGTTTTATTACAAGTGGGGAAGGAGAGAAGTGGAAGAATAAGCTACAATTATTGCTTATGTGTACGATCATTAGCTGGTATTTTACTTTAATGTCTTTATGTACAATGAAAGATATGTGCTATAGTTATTATTAGTCTAAGAAAAGAGATTAGTATTTTTGAAGTAATTTATATCTTAGCCCCAATAGTAAACTTTTTATCCATGCTTCTTATGATAATTTCCAGTATAAAGGAAAATCTACAGTTCATTCAAGATAGAGAAAATATTATCTGCCAAGAAAAATTGTTTTGTTTTTATTTCTTTGTTTGCATGTTTTTTTTGTTTGTCTTAATTACAGCACAATCCAAACAAAATTGCATCTGGCTTTTTCCTACGATTGTTAACATCAAAGCTAGTGAATGATATTGCAGATATTTGTAGAAGTTTAGTAAGTATGCTTCCTGTTTTAATACTGTATTTTATTGATTCTAAGATGCTTTTTTTTTTCCATTGAAACCTCTCTTAAATAAGGATACATCTAATATATGGCATCTTATGTTTTTTAAAATGTGGATATTAAAATTACTTGGTTGAGAGGGAGGATATTATTGATTGCTTTTTAATATCATTACCTAGCATAGTGCTTGGCTTTTAGTTTCTCAATAAATAAAATAGACTGAATTATTAGATACTAATCATCCAGGCTCATACCTATTTCTGTGCGACACTATATCAAAATTCAAAATAATAATCTATCCTTAAAAATAACAAAAACCTTGCCAGACGGGGAACATATTCTCATTGTGGCATTTATATTTCTTCCACACAAACGAGCTTTTTCCATACATACTTTTTTGTCTGGAACAGTACATGGCGCACTTAGAAGATACTCAAATATCTAATGAGTGAAAAAAAAAATCCGTAATTTGATTATTTTCATTTAATAATAAATCTTGATAATTTTTCCATGTTGCTACATTGTGTTATACCTGACTTTTTTTTTTTTTTTTTAGCAGTAGCATATGTATTTTTAGCCCATCAGGTCTTAATTAACATTTTAAGTAGTTTTTTTTTTCTTTACGGTCACAAAGAATCCTGTGTTAAAGTTTCTTACACTTTTGTCTACTTGTATTTGTGCTTATGAAAGATTTAGGATAAACTCTAGAAATGAAATTACTTTTTCAGAAGGAACGTGAATTTTACTTTTACTGGCTACAATCATTGTCCTCTAAAATAGTCATACCAATGTATAATTTTCCCTAGACTCTTACCAATTTTAGGTAGTATAAAATAAGTATGAGAAATTATTTAAGATTGCATATTATTCTGTTAGTGGGCATTTAATAGAAATAATACTGCAGTGTTCATAACACATGAACCTTAAATTGTTTGATTAGGTGAGTTTTAATTACAGCATGCTTCTGAAAGAAGTCAACCTGAAAAAACATTTTTCTTTTCTTTGAAGTCATCTTTTATCAAAAAGCCACTTGACTATAAAGAAGTAGAATCAATGGAAGATAACACTAATGAAAATCTAATGGAGATGGAGAATCAGTCATCCATGAGTGTATGTAGTGATTTCCCTGCTAGTAGTGTTAGTGATGCAAATGAATCTGGAGAGAGCCAGCTTACTATCGGTAAATACAAATTTACTGTTTGGGATTTCTTTTACCTCTTTGTGTTGATTTGACATTACAAAAGGCCTCATACATACCAATTTTATGCTCATTTTATTTCCTTTTAGTATAGTCTATTAGGATTGTTCCTTTCTACATTAGATTCTTTGATTGTTTAAATTTATTAGTTTCCTATTCTATATAGAGAAAATTTTAAATAATTACTAAAGAAAATCATATGATAGATTATTAGGAAAATAGAAAACAGAAGAGTAAAAAAAGCACCCATAATGCCATCACTTTTAGCCTTTTTCCTGTCATTTCTTTACAGACCCTTTGAAAATTGTAATCAGCATCAACATTCAAATGCCTTCTAATACCTTGTTTTCTTCAAATGTTAACTTATAAGCATTTTTTTCATTTAGCTACTAATATTGATAATCATACTCAGTAACGGCCTCATAATATCCCAATTAACATATATACCATAATTTACTTGACCATTCATTACAGTCAGAAATTTAAGTTTCTATTTCCCCATAATTAACAGTATTACAGTACTGTTTGTTTATACAGCTTTTTAAAAATAGATTATTGATGACAGAATCCTTCAGTAACCTTTTATGAAGAATTTTGAGGCTTTCAGTGTGTAACCAATTTCACTGTAATTTTGTTTTCCATATACTTTTTTTTTTTTTTTTTTTTTTTGGTAGAGGGGAAGACATTTGAGTGTCAACATATGTGGTTGTTTAGTTTACCAAGTGCTTTTTCCTTTTAGGGGCCATGAGTCCTTTAGCTGAAGAACATCTGTCAAAGCAAGATCTACTTCTTTTGGATATGGTCAGGTTCCTGTGCATGTGTGTAACTACGGCTCTTACCAATACTGTGTCATTTAGAGCAGCTGATATTCGGAGGAAATTGTTAATGTTAATTGATTCTAGCATTCTAGACCCTACTAAACCGCTACACCTACACATGGTGAGTTAAGTGAAATGAAAAAGCTCTTCAGTTCTGTGTGGTGTTGCTGCTAAATGAAGTGGACTGACGTGAGAATCACATAGTACCTTTGAAGACTTGAAATCACTTCCTTGAGAAACGAATCTGAGACTAGTTATAAAATACACTTCTTTTATGTGCTGTGAAAAAAATTTAAGAGGATACTGAAACATTAAAACTTGGACTTTGGATAGATTTATTATATTCGAGTATCATTAATTATTATAAATTATTTTAAACTAGGCTAAGAAACACAGCTCCTGAATGTAAAAATAATGCTTAAATAATGTAGCAGTTGAAGTCTGAATCTCGCCTTGACCTTAGTTTACTTTCTTTAAATTTTTTATTGTAATTTCAAAGTGATAACAAAGTTACAGTACTATAAGAACTTCATATTCCCTTCATAAGCTTCTACTGTTAACATTTTACCACATTTGCCTTAGTATTCTCTCTACACACACACACACGCGTGCGCGCACATACACATCTCTTTCTGAATCATTTTAAGATTAAGTTGCAGATGTGATGCCCCTTATACATCAGTGTATATGTCATAAAAACAATGATACTTCCCTGTATAACAACAGTATAATCATCTGGAATATAACACTATTACTGCATTTAGTTTTCAGGTCCGTTCAGTCTCTTTCAGTCTGATACTGTTACTTAGTCTTATCTTTCATGACTTTCCTATTTTTTAATAGTATAGCTACTTGTTCTGTAGAATTCTTTACTTTGAGTTTTTCTCATATTTCCTCATGATTATATTTAGATTTAGACTTTCGTGAGAATATTACAAAAGTAATCCCTCTCCTGCCCTATACCACATCAATCTATCCATCTGCTGATTGATGTCTCCAATTCCAATAAATTCATCATAGGATTTGTTTATTTTTCTGTATTTATAACTCCCTTTTCCATCAGTAAGAAACTGGGCTTTCCACTGAACCTCAATACATTTCCTTGTTTACCCAATATTCTTATATATATAACTACTCTGCTGACCATGTGGGCCATCCCTTAGCCTTAGTACTGGTGACCATGTGTGGAGAGACCCTGGCCCAGCGAATATGCTGGGTGAATCCATGGTCATTTCTCTAGTCTCAGCAAATTGGTAAATATGCCAGGTGATTTTCCCAGCTTTGGGAAACATGCTAGGTGATTCCTTAATTAGAACTTCTTGGAAACATAAAGGTTGAATTCCTGGTAGAATCCCTGGTCATGTTCTAGCTGTGGCGAACATGATGGTTGAGCCCCTGGCTCCAACAAACATGCTTGGTTGAGCCTTGTTTGATCCCCTGGTTTCAACCCTGGCAAACACTAATCAAGTCTCCAGTCCTGACCAGTGGGGAGGGCTGTATGCTTTTCTTAAGGTTTTGCTGTTTAAAGGCACTTCAAGACACTCAGTAACATCACAACCATGACTTTTATGTCAAATATTTAAAATATCCAATTTAATGTTCTTTTATAATATCCGAGGAGTAAGAAATTTTTTTACACATAGATGATAGGGAAAAAAGTCTGATTTCTTACTACAGCCAGAAAATTATTTAACAACTCTTAGAAATAGTCATAGTGCCATAGAGAGTCTTACCAGGTTGCTTTATAGAAAGATAGGTCAGGGTATTTGACTTCTTCCCTGCCTATGATTATCTCTGCTTTCTACAATTTGTTAGTAGCTTTTAAACAGTCAAGTCCTATCCCCCAGCATTGTTTTGGAAGGGTGGAAACAATATAGTTTCAGATTTTTGCTCAGGCTCTTAACCCCAACAGTGGTAGCAACTAGCATTTATTGAATTCTTACAATAATTGCTAGTCCTTTACAGTTATTTCTTTTAATCCTCACAGTAATCTGGCCAGGTAAGTGCCATATCCCCATTTTACAGGTGAAAGTACAAAGGCTCAGATGAGAAGGCAGGTTTTTTAACCACACAATAGGATGTGGTATTGGGATTTGAATCTAACTCTGTTTGACTTTAAATCCCACCCCGCCCCTTTTTTTTTACTATACTGCCTGTTTAAAAAATGTACTGCTTGTGTGGGTGCATGTGTACACACGCATGTGTCTATGTATGAATTTATGGTTACGTATATATTTAAGTAAATGACATGAAAAATAAAAGCTGATTTTTTTCTTCCTATTTTAGTATCTAGTGCTTTTAAAGGAGCTTCCTAGAGAAGAATATCCTTTGCCAATGGAAGATGTTGCTGAACTTCTAAAACCACTATCGTAAGAAATTAAAGCCATATTATGTTCACTTTAAATTTATAAACTAACAGATGTATTTTGTTATGCTTATTAAGTTAAACTTTTTCCACCATAGCAATGTATGTTCTTTGTATCGCCGTGACCAAGATGTTTGTAAAACAATTTTAAACCATGTCCTTCATATAGTGACGAACCTATGTCAAGGCAATATAGATGCTGAGAACACAAAAGATGCTCAAGGACAGTTTCTAACAGTGATTGGAGCATTTTGGTAGGTACAGACTATGGGGTTCTTATTTTTCTTTTGCAATTTCTGATACAGATGCAAACTTTCCATTTCTGCATGTAACTATATACATGCAGTATATAGTTACCCTTAAATGCAACTCTATACATCTTTTAACAGTAGTAGAATGTAATTTGTGTTTTCTTCCTTAATTGCTTGAAGAATTAAACTGTGTTTTTCTTAAGGCCTGGCTTTCTTAACCTGTGAATTTTGAATCACTTAATAGTTTGACATGTGTGGTGAATAAAGCAAAGTGCAACAAATCTAAATTGAATTGTTGGTGTTCCTAAAATGAACAAATTGGCCTTGTCACTATCTGGTTATTTCATGTGTATAGTCACAGTGTGAGGTAACACCATGATACTTATAGAGGGGCACATGTATGTCATTTAGAGCCCTCATATCATTTGACTGATAAGGACTTCTGAATCAGTGTAGAATATGGTTTTTGAAATCTTTGATATAACAACAAAAACTTAAAAAAATTTTTCTCTTTAAAGTAAGTTTACTATAACGTGTTTAGATGAAGTATGATAGCCCCAAAATGAGGCATAAAGATATAAAGCTAATAATACACATTAAAATGAACTTCTTTTCAAACATATCTTGTAGCCAGAATTTTTTAGAAGGTAAGAATATTGGCATATGCTACATAATGAGAATTAAAGGTAGCACGGCAAAGAATTTTGGAAGTAACAAAATAATTCTAATGTCCAGTACTTTATTTTTCACTGCTTTTATTGGAATAATTATTTGACATCGAAATACTTTATTTCAGGCACTTAACAAAAGAGGGGAAGTGCACATTTTCTGTAAGAATGGCACTAGTAAAATGCCTTAAAACTTTGCTTGAGGTGAGTTACTCCATGTTAAATATTAGGTTTTTATAAATTTTTAAAGCACCTTTGTTTCTGTTGTTAATGCATGATTTTTCTCTTAGTATTTCATATTTAACCTTAGTTGTTCTTTTCCCATAGGCTGATCCTTATTCAAAATGGGCTGTTCTTAGTGTAATGGGAAAAGACTTTCCTGTAAATGAAGTTTTTCCACAATTTCTTGCTGATAATGATCACCAAGTTTGCATGTTGGCTGCAGAATCAATCAATAGGTAATGAGTCAGGTATTTATGAAGTATCTGGAATGTTGCAGATATCAATGCAATATCTAGCACAGTGATAGGTTACTAGTTGTGATATTAAAAATAGCTAACACTGTATGTCAGTTATAATTAAAAATGAATTGAAAAAATAAAAATAAAAAAATAGCTAACACTTGTTGAGCATATACTCTTTGCCTGGCATTTATGTTTTCTCTTAATTCTGATAGCTCTATCACTTAGATACTATTATTTTCTCCAATTTATAAATGAAAACTTTTTGGTTTAGAGAGATAAAGTAACTTGCTCAGTACCATACAACTAGTAAGTGATTGAATTGAACGAAGTGCATCTAGTACTGTTTATGAGAGATGTAGAATGTTTGGATGTTACTATAATTTTATTATGAGTTTGTAAAATGAGTTTACATTGTGCCTATTATAATTGTTTATTCAAGTAAACATATAGTCATAGGGATTTGTTTTATGTTTCTATTATAGGGATCTGTTTTATGTTTGAGTCCTGAAGCAAATACTAATTCCTTAAAGACTGTATGTTTATCAGGTTATCAAACTGATTTTTAAGCTCTAAATTGTAACCTACCTGTACTTTTCCCACTTTGCTCTTCCTGTAAATAAAGCATCCTTCTGCTTAATTTTTATCTATAGCATTTGTCACTACTTGAAATATTTTAACACATTACCTGGAATATAAGCTCCTAGAAGTCATTGCTTTTTGTCTGTTCTGTTCATTACTAGGTGTATATTTAGCACCTAAAACAATACTTGGTATGTGGTAGGTGTTTAATAATTTGTAAAATCAATGACTATTTGAAAAAATTATACTTTTAAAACATCAAAGCTGGAAATCGTTTGAGTAACTTTATTGTTCAAATGCAAGTAACCAGTAATTACAGTTCACAGTAAAGAAGTTACCCCAACAGTCATACAAACATGTGTTAGATAACCTAATGTGTTCAAAGTTTGAATGTGCTGATAGTAATGTTTTCATAAATCAGAATTGTGTCTTAATTCCTCAGGTTTGGGACTCTTTTCAGTTAAAACATAGTGCATTGGAAGGATTGCTAAGGAATGTGAACTTTACTTCAAAGATAGAAAATATATACTGAAGTTAAAGATCTGGGATTAGACTCAGAAACAGAACAAACTGATGGTTACCACAGGAGAAGGGGGTGGGAAAATGGATGAAAAAAGGTAAAGGAGAATGAGATATAAACTTCCATTTATAAAAGAAATAAGCCACAGAGATGTAGTGTACAACTCAGGAAATATAGTCAATAATGTTGTAATAATTTTGTATAGTGACAGATGGTCACTATACTTAGTGTGGTGACCTCATCATAAGGTATGTAAATGTCAAATCACTATGTGTTACACCTGAAACTAATGTAATTTTGTATTTTTGTATGCCAACTATAACAAAAAAAATTTTTTTTAAAGGATGGGGTTATAGAGGATCATAAGTTGGACGTAATAAAGCAGTGTAGTGTTGGCATTGAACTATCTCTAAAGATTCAAAAATGTGTAAATTCAAGAATGGCATGAACCTAGCATTTGTTGTTTTTTTTTTGTAGTTTTTTTACTTGTTAGATATTTAATACTGGGCTATTTTATGAGAAACTGGAGAAATCAGAGGAACACCAAAAAGTTTAAAAGTTTTGATACTAAAAAAGCATAAAGGACAAAATTAATTAAAGAATTGTCCTTAAATATGCTAGGATATTTTGCAGAAGTCACCAACTGTGCTCCATCACATAAAAAAAAATTTTTTTAATGGAACATCAAGACATTAAGCTATTAATTTTCAGGGTGGTTAAATATTAGAACACGTTGTCATAGGAGTCTGGCTTCTTCTAATTGGCATTTGACCAGAGGACAATTTTTCTTTTCTGGCTAGTTTGAGTTTAGGGCTATTCAAGTTTGGCAATAAGCTAAAAGATTTTTTGAGACCCTTTGTAGTTCTAGGAGAAAATAGAGTATGTGGTAAAGACCCTAATATAAAGCAGTGGATCTGAACCACTTTAATTGGGCCTAGATTTTCTTAGTCTTTTGAAAGGAAATCTAGTGTGTTAGTATGTCTCACAGAGTGACTTATTTTTGTCTTGTAATATATTTTTGGAAAGTAGTTTGAGATAAAAAATTATTTCACTTTTTGGTTTTTTTTTTAAGATTATTTCAGGATGTAAAACAAGCAAGTTCTTCCACATTATCGAAAGCACTTCCTTTGAAGCTTCAACAAACAGCTTTTGAAAACGCATACTTGAAAGCTCAGGAAGGAATGAGAGAAGTGGTAAATTTAGTAATGCATATTTGATATTATATACTTTTTATAAACATACTGTATCACTTTACCATGTTTGGCCTGATAGTTTATATTTAATAGTTTACAGTATAAGATTAGACTAGAACAACTTATGAATTGATTGAAATTGCTTTATTTACAGGTAAGAATTGGCAGTTTCCTTTGGTTCAACTTATATGTAGCATTTTTCTGGGAAAAGCAATTTACTGAGGTTTTATAGGAGTATAAATGCCTTCCTTTTTTATTAAAAGCTTTTTAATGAGACCTAAATAAAATCTAATTCAGAATAGGTGACAATAGGAAGAAATGGATTTTGAAAATGTTCTAATAGGTAAGATCAGATTATTTTAGTGTTCTTTAGTGACCTTATGATTTTCATAGTTCTCTGTAGAATAATGTGTTTTTCTTAAAATGGCAAAAATTATTTTAGTGTTAGAATTTATTCATTTATTTATGCCTTGAATTTTTTGTAAAAAGTATATGAGTAATCTGTGATAGCACAAGACTAAAAAGGATAGTTGTATAAAAGAATGTGAATTTAGAAAAAGATTTCAATAGAATGGAAAGATGAGTGTAAAGTAATAGAGATAATGTACATTATACATTTTAAAATCAGCCTGTCATGTGCAGAAATGCAAAATATTGATCTGACAGCAATTCATTTAGAAAAAGATCTAAGAAGTTTTACATCTTGAGAGCACAGTATGAATCAACATTGTAATAGTTATTCAGAAAAGCAAATTCTGACTTTGACATCATTAATAGAAGCATACTGTCATGAACAAGTTGGTAAGAATTTGATCTGTACATTTTAGAGGGCAGTTAGCATGTTGGTGCTGAGTAAAAGCTGATTTTTAACTAGAATGTTAGAGATTCTATAGATCTGTCTCTTATAAGGAATAGGTGAAGAAGTAGACTTAGTAGAAACCTCATAGCTATTTTTAAACATGTCAATGATTGCCATTTTTTAAAAGAAGTAGGTTCTTTCTTTTTCTTGTACCAAAAAACAGAACTAGGATCAGAGTACCAGTTTGTTTTTCTATATGTGAAGAGAAACTTCTGTCAAGTATAGGTAATCAAAAAATATACACATCTGTTGGGATATAATAAATGATGATTAAACTAGAAGTATATGTCATGCTATTTAGTTACATGGTTTTATTATTCCTTTTGGTAATATATATGATATTTTAAAATGTATAAAGAACCATATATTATAGTGATAATAAACATGAGATATAGTTGGTATAACTTTTAATCTCTCACCTTCTTGCAATATCTTTCTTCTTTTCTTTAAAGTACTTTATATCTCACTAAAAATTTTAGCAGTTCTTTCCATAATATCAAAAGCAGTTTTTCCCACTCTAGCAACTGATGTTTTCTCAAAATCTCTACTCTTAGCTCCATCTGTAGGATTTAAACTATTCACTGAGTGCTTAGATGTCATGGTGTACTTTGCTTTTAGACTGATAGGTTTATTTGTAATGTTTAAATATTTACATTATTTTTAAAATTCTAAAGTCCCACAGAGCTGAGAATCCTGAACTTTTGGATGAGATTTATAATAGAAAAGCTGTTTTACTGATGACGATAGCAGTGGTTTTATACTCTAGCCCTGTCTGTGAAAAACAGGCTTTGTTTGCCCTATGCAAGTCTGTGAAAGAAAATGGATTAGAACCTCACCTCATTAAAAAGGTACATGTGGATGGATATTTTTTATTATAATCTTTTTTGGGTAAGTTCTAAATAATTTAAAAAGTTAAAGTAGAATTTTAAAGCAGTACTTATGAAAAGACTTGGAGACAGTTTTATTTTTTAGATTTGGAATATTGGAAAGTAGTAACTTTTTAAATAGTGTATTAATTTGTATGCAGGGTCATTTCTTGCATTCAATTTAAGAGTATTTCACAAGGCATTCTTTGAACTAACAAGGGTGAATGACCTGTCATCATGTAGACCAGGCCCTCTGGAATAGCATTTATTGAGGGAAACACATGAAAAAAGCACGTATTTTCCCTGGTGGATTCTGGGGCAGGACATAAGGATCTAGCAGGGCTGGGAGTCAAATTTTAGAGTTATGAAGCTTTTAAATTGCATGATTAGGGAAGGAGGACCAGGGTCCAGCCTTGCAGTTACATCCGCACAGTGTTATAGAGTGTGCATCCGTGCCCTGTTCCACTACCTCAGAATTCGTGGTTTGGGAAGTTCCAAGCCTTTCCATTGTAGATTTTAACATGATGATTGGCCTTATATGCCATTTGGCTTTCTACCAGCATAGTTTCCATGGAGCTTTATATTGGGCCAACCCACAGGTAGTCAGTCTTAGGCATGTTAATCTTTTATTTCTCAGGATTAAAAAAAGAAGTCGTTTTTAAAAAAATTATACAATTATACTACTTAATTATTGTAAGTGGAATATAGTGTTTGGATTTTTCTCATTTGGATTTAGGACTGAGAAGAAGGATTATTTTACTTTAGATTGTCCTTTGCAATATAATCAAATGTTGAAAATTGCAATGTATTTTCCTGTTTTTATTCATTTACCATTTATTAAGATTTTTTTATGTGCTAGGCACAGCGCAAAGTGTATTAAATGCATTTTTCTTATTTAGTCTTGCCAAAGTGGGTACTTTTATTATCCCTATCTCATAGATGAGTAAATCAAGGTATAGAAAAGTTAAATGAATAATTAAAATCATACTGTAAGTAAATATTAACAAAGATTTAAATAATATATTATTTCAATGTTTTCTTGAAGCTTTGACTTATTCTTGATTTGTACAGGTTTTAGAGAAAGTTTCTGCAACTTTTGGATATAGTCATTTAGAGGACTTCATGGCTTCTCATTTGGATTATCTGGTTTTGGAATGGCTAAATCTTCAAGATACTGAATATAGCTTATCTTCTTTTCCTTTTGTTTTATTAAACTATGCAAACGTTGAGGATTTCTATAGGTAGGTTTATATATAGCACATATTAAATATGTTTAATTTACAATTAGGTAATGATGTTTGGCAATCTCACCTCCACACATGCAGAGTAGGAGGCTGTATAGAAAAGGGGCAGCACAGCTTGTTTTAATGAAATTATATTGAAGGGAATCTGTGGACTTAGGATCTGGTCCTAACTGTGCCAATAACCAGCTATGTGACTTTAGGCAAGCCATCTAAACAGCCTTTGGGATTTGTTTTTCTTAGTAATCTATAAAGTAAGAGAGTTACACAGGAGCTCTTTAATGTTCCCTTCAGCTTTAACATTTGATAATCTCTATGAAAAGTTAAAGATAAATTACCAGTGGCTCATTATATCTGCCTTGTTTTTCTTTTCTGCTGCTTGACTATAGGATTTAGTCATTTTAGTGACTATAGGATTTAGTCATTTTAATTTTATTGTAAAAATATTTTGCTAACTGATTCTAGAGAAGAAAATTTTGAAAATGGAAAGGTTTGAAACAACTAAAGAGTGATGCTTAGGTATCAGGATGTTGGGAAGGCATTTCATAATTGTTTATAATGATCCTTATTGTTCATTCATTTTGACAATAAAATTTACATTTTTTGAATTTATAAATTGCTTTCACATTTCATTTTATAATAGTTTTGCATGAATTGCTTATGCAGAAGAAATAAATACAAATTCGATTTCTGCTTTTTTTTGATCACAGAATTAGGGTAGTGTATTCTAAGATTTTTTTTTTTAGTGTGATTGTTTAGAATTTACCTAACTTTATTTCTCCATTTATAAAATTAGAGTAAGAATATCTAATGATGTAGATTAAATGATGTTCTAATGCTTATTAAAGCATTTTGTTATTTTAAGAACTATATTATGAAATTTTGCTTTGAAAAGTTACATATAACATTTAAAATTTTCATATTTTTAGATCTTGTTATAAAGTTTTGATTCCACATCTGGTAATTAGAAGTAATTTTGATGAAGTGAAATCCATTGCTAATCAAATTCAAGAAGACTGGAAACATCTTCTAACAGACTGCTTTCCAAAGATTCTTGTAAATATTCTTCCTTACTTTGCCTATGAGGGTACAGGAGACGTTGGGATGGGACAGCAAAGAGAGACTGCTACCAAAGTCTATGATATGCTAAAAGATGAAAACTTCCTAGGAAAACAGGTATGACTTCAACCTTTACATGCATTTTATCCCCTAATTGATCTGAGATGTAACTTTAAAGTTTTAAGGCTCTTTATTTATTTATGTAGTTAAATTTAGTATGTGGTAATCACTATCTAGCATAGACAATCCATGAATTTTTTTGTTATACAGTGTTCTTTCCTTTTGATTGGCTTTTAAATTAAATGTTTTCAATCAGAAATTTAAAAAAATAACTCAAATAATTTTATTTTTTTCTTTTTAAAATTTATTTTAATTGGCAATAATAATAGATGCAAGTTGTTAAGTTCAAACAGTACTGACAATGTTTAGAAAAATTTCCTCACTTCATTAAGTCCTTCACTTTTCAAGGAAAAGTACAATCCCAAGTTTTTATACCCTGTTCTTCCTTTTTTTCCATGACTGTCTTCTAACATATGATATAATTTATTTGTGAATTATGTTCATTGTTTATTATCAATCTTGTCTACCATAAGTACTATGAAAGTAGAATTTTTTTTCTTTTTTTTTACTGATGTATACTGACGATCTAGTATATATTGAGTACTCATTATTTGATAAAAGATAGAGTCATGTTAAAAAGGATCTAACAGTTTGTTTTATAATTTATATGCATCCAAACTTATTTGAGGTAACTTATATTAAAGAACATTTTAAATCTTTTTTAAGGTAAAAGAGGAGTGGTCAGCCCAGTTTGTTTTTAATGTAATTAAAAGATGACTGAACAAGTTTGGTTATCATTAGAATTACAATTGGATAAACTCCAAGAGACTCTTTTTGGTTGTCCAGTTATCTACATTGAAACAAGAAATGGAACAGCAAATTTCTTAGTTGCTTAGGTAGGCCATTGCCAGTCAGAGCTGGTTATGTCTGTAGTCTGGAGGCAAATGGTGAGCAGAGGGGCCCCTTTCTCAAAAGACAGTTGGAACAGAATGTTGGCACTCCAAAGGTAATGGAATTACACGAGGACAATCTGTTGCTACCGCCTCCCACCCAATCTCCCAGTTTAGACTTCTGAGCAGGCCTAATCTTATTATTCTTATTTATGTATTCAAACCAAAAGATAGCAATTTTCAGAGTCAGAATTAGTCTAGGAGGGAAAGATGATTACATTAAACCCTGATTAAAACACCAGTCTCAAGAACAAAGACAAAAATTAAATAATTTCTTGGTTAAAAACATAAAGTTTTGTTAGTCTCCATTTTATTTAGCATGAAGTTGTCATTGTAAGTTAATTTTTTGTTTCTCTAATAGTGCTTTCTCTGAATCTTCTAGATTCTTTTTTCTGTCAATAAGTGTTGATGTGACTGTTATCAGTCTTCCAGTCTTCTAAAAACTGCCAATTTGTTGACTGCCTAAAATATTTACAGTTATAAGATAGTTTAGCTGTGCGTAGACATCCGAACAATTTATATGTACTTTAGCTAAACATTACAAGTCTGACTTATTAGAGAATCATATAAAACTAGTGAATTCAGTTGTCATCTTATGTGTAAGGAAGCTCATTAATTTTTTTCTTTGATATTTATCAGACCTGGCTAATTTGTCCTTAATCCAGATGTATTTCAAAATGAGGCTGAGTTTTTAAAAGGGCTGAAACCTTGGAAATGATGACTTGAACAACTGAGATGTAAGCCTGAAGGAAAGGCTAGGATTTTTACATTAGGTTTCTTGTCACATTCAAAAATATTTCTTTTATTTGGAAGTATTTCCAAACCTTGTCCATCAGGTAAATCAGCCATTTGCCTTTTTAGTTTAGAGCACTGTAATTCTTTATTTGGAATGCTAATCAATTCACCTTTAAGGTTGTCACACAGTTCTCAATCATTTGACAGAAGTGTAATGTAGCAGATCCATCCTTTATATTTAGTGAATTTATGCTTTTTGTGAGGCTACCTGTAGCAGGAAGTGGATTGATGAAGATTCTGCCCCTGTAGGGAAGGATTTTAGTCTACTGTTGATGACAGGGAATGTGAGTAGCGGCTAGCCTCAGAATTTGGAGTATCAACCAAAGTAGAAATCTGGGGAGAAGTCATGCAGGGAACAAAGATGACTATTACCGGTCACTGATAATTCTTACTAGCAAAGTTTTCTATATTCCCAAATAAGAGTAAAATGCAGATTGAGGAGAAGCATAGATCAGTGGGGAATTTGGTTGATGGGAAAATGATTAGGTTGAGGAATTTAATATTAAATCTGAAGCCTAAGTCTATTAAAATGATTCTTCAAAATTTAACTAAAGAGTTGAATTAGAGAGTCTTATTTGGTATAATTTCCTTGCTGTCCTTCACTTTATAAGTCGGTGGCATAGCAGAAAAAGTGGAGTTAGCTGTATGTCTTGCACATTTTAGATCTTTCATCATTTATTTCCTTCTATGGCCACTGAATAATTTTGGAAATGAGGCTAAAGTGAGCACCTTGAGCTGTTTTAAAGGTCATGGACATAAAAACTTAATTTCGTATCTTTACAGATTGATCATTTATTTGTTGCTAATTTACCAGAGATTGTGGTGGAGTTACTGATGACATTACATGAACCGGCAACTTCTGGTACCAGCCAAAGCACTGACCTCTGTGATTTTTCAGGGTATGGGTATTTAAAACTTACCGAATTAGCTGCAATTTCAGAAGTTCCTTGGGAAGTTTATTGATTGACACCTTCAAATGTCTATTTCAGTTTTTAGGCACATACTCTGCTTTTAAAATTGTTTCTTTAAAAATAACTTCTTTTGAATTGGTTAACTCATCTGCTTCTGCTATAGTCCTGCCACAATAACTGCTCTTTCTGGTTGACTCCCTTGTTTGTAAATTCAATGATCTTTTTTGTTCTCCATCTTCCTGTAGTGTTTGAGCATTGTATCATCTGTTGCCTCTTGAAAATGTCTTCTTTATGAAGTATTCCTCGTTCTCCTTTTCTATGACTTGTCTTTTCTTTATCGTGTTCCTTAGCTCTCAGAATGTACTGTACTACAATTTAATTTGGATGTGAAACTCACTTGGTTGTACGTGAATGTTAGAATTATTTTCCCAACTTGATTATAAACTGCTTAAAAGCACCCTTTATTTTTTTATATGCCTTAGTGCTAGGCATATAAATTATAATGATATCTACCAGAGTACTTTTGTATGTATACTTTCATTTGATATAGTGTTTAATAGCTGTGTCTTAAAATATTATTGCATTTACAGTAATAGCGTAGAGTTTTAATTCAGACCTGGAGTGGCTCCTTTGTGGAAATGCCATTAACTTAATAAAAGATTTTTTAAACAAATCATTGAAAACTGATTAAGCCCCAGAAGGTAAATATCTAAATATTCTGGTTTATATATATAGACTAAGATGTCATTTGTGATTTTATTAAAAATCTACTTTTTTAGTAGAAATATAATTTTTAAATTTAGGATTATTATAATCTAAATTTTTATTCTAGAATTTCATTGGTCTGGCAACCAAATCTGTTTTTTCTTGATAATTTTGTTCTGAAAATGATGACAATTTTTCCTGTAACTCTTAGGGATTTGGATCCTGCTCCTAATCCACCTCATTTTCCATCACATGTGATTAAAGCAACATTTGCCTATATCAGCAATTGCCATAAAACCAAGTTTAAAAGCATTTTAGAAATTCTTTCCAAAAGCCCTGTGAGTATACATTACTGGTATAGTTACTGAAGAGAGAATTCTTTCTTTTTTGGCTAAAAAAGAGAAAAAGTAAACAAATGGAAAATTCATCTGAATTAAAAAGAAAAACATAAGTTTATATCTTGGTATTATACTTGTCAATATTAATTGAAATATGTTACATATGAGGGCTGAATTTTGTGATACTTTAGTCATATATTGAGTCAGAATTTTTTTTAAGAATATGCTATTATAGTTTACTATCTGAAAATTAAATAGACAATAGCTTTTTTATGTTTAAGATAGTAATTTTCTTAACGTAATATTTTATATGCAATATCAGACCCAAAACTGAATTCTGTAATTTAGTTATTTTGAATACAAAATGTATTTCTTATAGCTGAGTATACATGATTTGAGAACTTTTTACTAAATATGTCTTTATTTTCTAGGATTCATATCAGAAAATTCTTCTAGCCATATGTGAGCAAGCAGCTGAGACAAATAACATTTATAAAAAGCACAGAATTCTTACAATATATCACCTATTTGTTAGTTTATTATTGAAAGATATAAAAACTGGCTTAGGAGGAGCTTGGGCCTTTGTTCTTCGAGATGTTATTTATACTTTGATTCACTATATTAACAAAAGGTAAATAATATATATAGACCAATGTATAAGTATTTTTCTCTTCTCTTAATTGAAAATTTGTGTTTCTAGAGGTAGAAGCCAGAGTACTATTCTCCGAATTTTGCGCTTTTTTTGCATTTTTAAAAATTTTTTATTTTTCAATTATAGTTGACATGCAATATTTTATCAGTTTCAGGTGTACAACATAGAGATTAGACATTTATATAATTTATGAAGTGATCACACCAATAAATCTAGTATCCATCTGACATCATACATAGCTATTACAATATTATTGATTATATTCTCTATGCTATACTTTATATCCCCATGACTGTTTTTAACTACCAATTCGTACTATTTAATCCCTTTCCCTTTTCACCCATTCCCTCAGATCCTCCTCCCATCTGGCAACCATCAAAATGTTCTCTATCTTCGAGTTTATTGCTGTTTTGTTTGTTAGTTTCTTTTGTTTTTTAGATTCCACATATAAATGAAATCATGTGATATTTACTTTCTCTGTCTTATTTAGCATAATACCTTCTAGATCCATCCATGTTATCGCAGATGGCAAAATTTTGTTCTTTTTTATGGTTTAGTAATATTCCATTGTATATATGCACCACTTCTTTACCCATTCATCTATTGAAGGACAGTTAGGTTGCTTCCATAGCTTGGCTATTGTAAATAATACTGCAGTGAACATATGGATGCATATATCTTTTTGAATTAGTGTTTTGGGTTTCTTTGGATACATACTCAGAAGTGGGATTACTGGGTCCTCTTTGTTTCTTGTTATAGCCTTTGTTTTATAGTCAGTTTTGTCTGGTATAAGTATTGCTACCCTAGCTGTTTTTTATTTGTTTGTTTGTTCCATGAAATGTTTCCATTCCTTTACTTTCAGTCTTTGTCTGTCTTTTGATCTGAAGTGAGTCTTTTGTAGGCAGCATATGTAAGGATTTTATTTCCTTATCTGTTCAGCCACTCCGTCATTTAATCCATTTACATTTAAAGTAATTGTTGAAAGATATCTAGTTATTGCCATTTTATTATTCATATTTTTAATCTTTTTTCTTCTTAAAGGAGTCCCTTTAACATTTCTTGTTCTACTGGTTTGGTGGTGATAAACTCCTTTAGCCTTTTCTTGTCTGGGATGAATTCTACTTTTTAATATATATTGTATTTGCCTGTATTTTTTACAAATTGCAATACTACTTCTCCACCTCTAGAAACCCTAAGTACTAGGGTCTTCGACAGTTTAAAATAAATATTCTAATTTTATTTTATTTATTTATTTTTTTCTATTTCTATTTAAAAAAATTGGTTAATGAAATTCAGTAAGTTTCAGGTGTACAATTTAACCACTAGTATATTGTCCATGTCCATTAGTCTCTGTTTGTTTGTCCTGTTCATTTGTTGCTTTTAGGTTTATATCCCACATATAAGTGATATCATGTGGTTTTCAACTTTTTCTGTCTGGCTTATCCCACTTAGCATGATCATCTCAAGGTCCATCTACATTGTGACTAATGGAGGTATTTCATCTCTTCTTATGGCTGAGTAATATAGTCCATTGTACATATGTACCACAGCTTCTTTATCCAATCATCTATCGTAGGACACTTTGGTTGCATCCGTGTCCTGGCCACCATGAATAATGTTGCTATGTACACTGGTGTGCAAATATCTTTTCCGATATGGGTTTTCAAGTCTTTGGGGTAAATACCCAGTAGAGGAATTGCTGGATCATATAGTAGATCAATTTTTAGTTTTTTGAAGAACCTCATACTGTTTTCCATAGTGGCTGTACCAATTTGCAGTCCCACTAGCAGAATATGAGGGTTCCTTTTTCTTTTACAGAAGAAAAAGTTATTACTTGCCCTGTTGATAACAGCTATTCTAACAGGTTTGAGATAGTATCTCATTGTGGTTTTGATTTGCATTTCCCTAATAGCTAGCGAGGTTGAGCATCTTTTTGTGTGTTTGTTGGCCATTTGTATGTCTTCTTGGGAGAAGTGTCTGTTCAGGTCCTCTGCCCATTTATTGAATTGTTTGTTTTTTTTGTTATTGAGACGTATGAGTTCTTTGTATATTTTAGATATTAGGCCCTTATTGGAGGTGTTGCTTGCAAATATATTTTCCCATTCGGATGGTTGTCTCTTTGTCTTGTTGACGGTTTCTTTTGCTGTGCAGAAGCTTTTTAGTTTTATATATTCCCATTCATTTATTTTTGCTTTTATTTCCCTTGCCTTTGAGATCAAATTCATAAAATCTTCTTTAAGTCCAAGGTCCTTGATTTTAGTTCCTGTGTTTTCTTCTATGCAATTTATTGTTTCAGGTCTTATATTCAGGTCCTTAATCCATTTTGAGTTAATTTTGGTGTGTGGTGATAGACATACAATGTTTTGACAGAGATTTCCTTGACTACTAGGAGCCAAGAGAGAGAAATAAAACCTTTTCTAGTCTTTGTAGATTGGTTCTTTGTTAGGGCTCTCCCTTAATACTTAGATGTGCACCGAGCCTAGGAATCAGCCCAAAGTGAAAGCTTATGGTCTTCTCAGGTAGTTTTTGAACATGCATCTTACCTTGGGCATGTGTGTGGCTTTCTAAATTCCCTGGATATATGGGCAATTTTGAATGCTCTAATTTCCCAAGGAAGCCCTCCCCCTAGATTTCCCACCTAGATATTAGCCAGTTTATTGTATGTCTCTACAGTAATCTTTTGTCCCAGGCAGCTGTGGGTTGTTGGTCAGCCTTACAATGTTTTCTGTGAATACCCTCAGCTTTTCCAGCTGTGGGGAGATTCAGGTTAGGCAAAACAGAGGTCAGTTCCCCTCAGTCCTTCAGGTAGCTCCCAGACAAGTTTAGAACAGACATACACAATAATAATTTGTGAGTAAGGCCTGCTCTGCTTTCTCTGGAAATGAGGACCAGGATCCCACATTGGGAATTAGGGAATGCAGTTTTCCTGACTATGGCCAAGCTGGGTGCAGGTGGGGCAAGAGCAAGTAAAGTCACCATAAAGCTTTTCTACAATTTTTAAGTTGCCATTTTCTTGATTGATTAAGCATTTGCTTGATTGCTATAAATCTTTGACTATTTAGAGTTCTAACAAAGTTCTGACAGTTCTACTTTTTAAAAAAAATTTATAATACAAATGATTTTTATTCTGTACTATTCTTAGAGATCCTTCCATGACAGGCTTCAGAGCTGCCACCTCTTTTAAAAAATTTTTTTAAATTTATTTTTCAATTACAGTTGACATACAATATTATATTAGTTTCAGGTACAACATTTATATACCTTTACAAAGTGATCATCCTAAGTCTAGTACCCATCTAACACCATATATAGTTATTACAATATTATTGACGTTATTTCCTATGCAGTACCTTACATTTCCATGACTTTTTATAAATAGCAATCTGTACTTCCTAATCCTTTTTTGCCCATCCCCCTAATTCCCCTCCCATCTGACTACCATCAATTTGTTTTCTGTATTTATGAGTTTGTTTTTGTTTGGTTTGTAAATTGGTGCAGCTAGCATAGAAAACAGTATGGAAGTTCAAAAAAATAGAACTACTATATGACCCAGCAATCTTACTTCTGGGTATTTATCTGAAGAAATCTAGAACATTAATTCAAAAAGATTATATATATATTAACATTAATTCAAAAAGATTATATATATATATTAATTCAAAAAGATTATAAAAGTATATATATATATAATCTTTTTGAATATATAATTCTTTGTTTATTGCAGCATTATTCGCAATAGCTGAGATATACAAACAGCCTAAGTATCCATCAATAGATGAATTGATAATGAAGATGTACAAATATACAATAGAATATTATTCAGCATAAAAAAATGAAATCTTGTCTTTTGCGACAACATAGATGGACCTCAAGGGTGTTATATTAGTAAGTCAGACAGAAAGATAAATACCATATGATTTCATTTATATATGGAATCTAAAAAATAAAATAAGTGATCAACAAAACAAACAAATGAATAGTTCTGCTTGTTTTTAGTGTTTCTGTCAGGGGAGCTTAGAGCTGTTTGCTCCGCCATTTTGCTGATGTCTCTTCTCATCTTGGCTTTAAGGAATTAGATATGAAAGTGACTTTTATGTCAAGCCACATCAGAATTAGAACTGTCGAATAAAAATGACATTTGAATGAGTTTATATCACAGTAGTTTCCTACAACTTATACTTTATTTTTCCTATATTAGGCCTTCTCGTTTCATGGATGTATCATTACGTAGCTTCTCCCTTTGTTGTGACCTATTAAGCCGGGTTTGCCACACAGCAGTAACTTACTCTAAGGATGCTTTAGAAAATCACCTTCATGTTATTGTTGGTACACTTATACCCCTTGTGGATAATCAGATGGAGGTTCAGGAACAGGTAATTTTGTATATCATCTTCAAAATGATATTTGAAATACATTGATAAAGTATTCTTGGATTGAGCTGAGTGTTTTATGTTTATTTAGTGTAATTAGTAATTTTAATGAAAATATTCCTTAAAAATAGTTGGAAAAACATTCTCAATGAGTTAATTTTTATAAACATTTAATTATAGAACATCTAGTAATTTTGATCTAGTAAATAATCCGATAGTTTGTCTTCTCATGCTGACACGTAGTCAAAGCTAGGGACAGTAGTTCACACCACTACGGTGGTGTGTAGGATATTACTTATATAAAATGTTGCAGTAAGAGTGGCATTTTTATACCTCAGTGCCCATCCAGTAGTAGTACTTTAACTATTTGATAAATTATTTCAAAGCACAGAAACAGTAATAGTTGAGTACCATAGAAGTAATTAAAACATTTTGTCTGAACTAGATTAGTAGAGTTTTTATCAGTTATTACAGTAGTTTGGTTGTTTTACTTTAAAATATAATTAAGCCATACCTCCCCCTTTTTTTTCCTTTTTAAATTATGTTTAGGTATTGGACTTGTTGAAATACTTAGTGATAGATAACAAGGATAATGAAAACCTCTATATCACGATTAAACTTTTAGATCCTTTTCCTGACCGTGTTGTCTTTAAAGATTTGCGTATTACTCAGCAGAAAATCAAATATAGTAGAGGACCCTTTTCACTCTTGGAGGTAATAATTATTCCATTATCTTACTATGTTGTATTAGAGATGATAGGCAGAAGTACTTTTTGAAAGCCTCTAATGCTCTGAAAGTAAAAAATTGAATCTTTTAAATTCAATTTAAAAATAAATTGATAAAAAAATAACATAAGATCTACTCCCCTCTTACCAAATAAAAAACTCAATATATCCTCCTGCATTATAGTAAAAATATAAATATCAGAGTTTTTTTTGGTAAAGATTTGAATTTAAATATTGAAGAAATGTGATAAAAATGTGCTTGATTTTCATATGCATAAGATTCATTAATATTTCACAATTACCATCTGATCCTTAGAGGGACAGCTTAATGTTTGAATTAGAAATATTTAACTTTTTAAAGAGTTTTTCTTTAATTCTCTTTTAACCTTTATAACTTCAAAATTATATTCAGGTATATTTTTCTTATAAATCTTATAATTTAAAAATCATCTATTTTTACTTCATATCAATATGAAAATACAGTTAAGTATATTAAGATGTAAAACCAGAGTTATGGTACTACATAAATAGAAACTTAAGGTTTTTCCTCTAATTGAGTATGCTATAACATTCTTAAAATCCAACTATGTAATCATGAGATTATTAGAATTTAAATTAAAACATTGTAGAATTTAAAGTGGAAGAAGCAATTTAGTTTTGCCTTGTTTGTTATGAGTGGTATGAGTGAGTGTAAGAGGCATTTATTAATTTTTTTCTTTTAAGTTTTATTTAAAACATATCAAAAGCAAGTTACATTTTTAACTAATTTTCTCTTTTAGGAAATTAACCATTTTCTCTCAGTAAGTGTTTGTGATGCACTTCCATTGACAAGGCTTGAAGGGTTGAAGGATCTTCGAAGACAACTAGAACAACATAAAGATCAAATGGTGGAACTTATGAGAGCATCTCAGGGTACTAATTTTGATGACATGAGCTATTTGTACTTTATTTCTTTTTGAAAGAATCTTTTATAAATTCTTGCTCTTGGTTTAATTGTCATGGACTTAGTTAAGATTTTTATCATTTAGTTCAGAACTTCATCACTTCTCATTCAACCATAAAAGGCTTCCTAATGGGCTCCTCACCTTGAACTACTCCCATGTTATCTATCCTCTACATCTCCGCCAGAATGATTTCTCTAAACACAGACATGATCATTTTATTCTAATGCTTAAAAAAATGTTCTCGTCCTACTGCCTAAAAGAAAAATTATTTTCTTATAGCCATGCATGTAAGGAAATCTGTCTCTGCTTATGCTCCAACTTAATTTAAATAAATGTCTCATTTTAAATTATGTATATAGTATATATGTATATATGTGTGTTTGTGTTTTTACATATACACATATATGTATACATGTATCTAGCTTTATTTTACTTCAGAAAACATTCATTTTTATATTGATTTGATTTGAGTTTAGATTATTATAGTATTGTACTTAGGAGGACCCTTTTCTACTTATGTTTTGATTTTCATCTTCCTTTTCCATTACATCTTCCTGTGCCCATTATTTTCATATTTCTATTGTGTTATTCTTATCCTCAGTACTTTTAAAAGCTAATTTTGGTTTTAGCCATCTAAGCTCTTACTGGTACATTTGTTCTGAGATATATATATATGTAAAATATGAGTACCTATATCTCTAATTTTCATGTATTTGGGTATTTTATTGGTTTAGATCCACCTTGTCCAATATAGCCACTACCTTTTAAGTGAATTTTAAGTAGCTGTTTAAGTGAATTAAAATGTAATAAAATTCAGAGTTCAGCTTCTTCATTGTGCTAGCACATGTCAAATTGTAAGTAGTAGCATGTGGCTAGTTGTTATCCCTGGACAACACAGATTATAGAATATTTCCATTGTTTGAGAAAGTTCTATTGGACAATGCTGGTCTAGACTAAATGCTAGAGATTAAAAAACCAGTCATGCTTCTAGGGTTCCTTGTAGCTTAATGCTGAATGATTACTGTATTTCAGTTTGTGATTTTGCTAAGATACTGACTTCTCTAATCACCTTTTTCTCTTTGTGTCTGCCAAATATTGCTGAAAACTTTTACATGGTTTTATTTCATAAGGAAGTTCAAATACATTCCCTTCATATTTTTCAAGTGCTCATGATTTAAAACCTTTAAAAAAACTTAATAAAGTTTTCTAGTCAGATAATTTTAATATATAAGCATATTGTAAAGAAAGTGTTTTCTCCATTACAGTTTAAACTAATTTTTTAAAAACTGCTTCTAGGTAACCCGCAAGATGGCATAATGGTGAAGCTAGTTGTCAGCTTGTTGCAGTTATCCAAGATGGCAGTAAACCACACTGGTGAAAGAGAAGTTTTAGGTAAACTCTTTAGCTGAATGAATATGAGTTTTTATATTCCAGTGGTCATCTTTATAATATTTTCAAAATCAGTAAATAAATTCAACAAAGTTGCAGGATGTACGGTCAACACACAAAATTCAGTAGAGTTTCTATACACCAGCAAAGAAAAATCAAAAAAGGAAATTCCATTTATAAATCCATTTATAATAGTATCTAAGAGAATTGAATACCTGGAGATAAATTTAATCAAGGAGATGAAAGACTAGTAGTACCCATTGTGTTTGTTAGAAGTGAGTCACTAAATACAGTCTACAGTCAAGTGGGAGAGGAATTAGGCTCTGCCTTTTGAAAGGAGGACTATCAAAAAATTTGTAAATATATTTTAATAAATTCCACCATGACTGGGAAAGAGCTTAAATGAGTCCTCTGGCATACTGAAAACATTCTTTCTTTATCTGGGTAGTGATAATATAGACGGGAAAAAAAAATGTGTGTGCACAAGCATACACGTGTATTTTTGAGTTTTCACTGAACTGAGCATTTAAGATTTGTGGACTTCATGTATTTAATACCTCAAAACATTTTTAAGTTTTAAAGTTGATACTTTCATACAGTAGCTATATTTAGACTTTCATCCTTTATCACCTGGATATGTTTTTATAGGGGAAATTACCTATTGCTTAAATGAATGATATGTAAAAGAAAGGATACAGTATTTTGTAGCTTCTTTAATTTATTCAAAATCTTTGAGAAACACTTTACTCTTGGATGACAAAATGGAATTATATTTTTGAAATCGGAAACTTTCTGTTGTATGTATGATCTCTTAGCTATAACTCAACTGATAAGGAATTTCTATATGTAGAGGCTGTTGGAAGCTGCTTGGGAGAAGTGGGTCCTATAGATTTCTCTACAATAGCTATACAGCATAGTAAAGATATATCTTATGCCAAGGCCCTTGAGTTATTTGAAGATAAAGAACTTCAGTGGACCCTCATAATGCTGACTTTCCTAAATAATACACTGACAGAAGATTGGTGAGTATTTAATGATACTTTGTTTATGATAGCACTTATTTAATCTGACATTCAAGGAGAATGATACCTCACATAAAATTTTTAATAGCTTTAATGTTTTTCTACATTGCCACACTTTTCCTTCAATCACAAGTTTTGTAATGAAAGTCTTATTTTTATTCACACAGTTACTAAAATCTACTGTGTGCCATTTGATATAGTGATAAATACACCAGACAAGGTCTGTGTTAAATTGTAGTGAGAGTAGACTAGACAAATAATAAGAAAACTGCCAAGTAGTTCTATACACAATATTAAGATAGGGGAATGTAATGCGGAATACTTGGGGCATTTGTCAGGATCTAAGGTACTGTTGTCTTCTCAGCTAGACTACTTTGATCCTTTTAAAATAAGTCAGAGCAGAAATTTTATAAATCCAAATTTTTTAAGCTAATCAGACAGGTAGTTGTTTTTTCTTTTTACCTGTTTATTCCCTATGCAAAAGAAAATTGCAACAGTTATTATTATAATTTCAGCTTGTTGGTTATGAGATTACTTTTGTTTTTCTTTTTTGCCCCTTTGCTCCCGTCCTCATTTATATATGTTTGTTTGTTTGTTTGTTTGTTTGTTTATGATATATTTAAGCACCTGATGGCTGTTTGAGGGGGGCAGGTTTGAAAGGGTTTTTGCCCACAACTAGGCATCCTTCTAAGTTAAATAGGTGTTTCGCATCTGTTTTCCTGCAACTCACCCCCTTCTCTTTGGGAATAAATGGTTAGCAATAATGTATACCTGCCATGTTTTCATTGTTGATTTAATGGACTTGTGTTTTTTTCTCTTTTGTTGTCACAATAAAAATGCTAGCATGGTTTTATCTCCAAACATTCTATTATAAAAATTTTTGAATGTACAGTAAAGTTGAAAGAATTTTACAGTAACACCCATATACTTACCACTTAGATTCTACCTAGATTTTATCATCAGTATTTTCCTACTATCCTTGCTTTGTCACATCTAGCCATCCTTCTGTCCATTTATTAATCTATCTCATTTTTAAAATGTGTAATTGGCACAGTTTTCGAAGACTTTTTTCATAGAAAATTTGCAAGCATTAAATGTTTCATTAAATGTTTCAAATGTTTCACAGTAATTTGCAGTTGGTTTTTCTGAAAAAGGTGTACACAGATAGTACTTGAACTTGAGAGTCATAAGGAACAGGTACAGTTTGTCGTTCCTATCTTTTTGTAGGAGGAAGAAAATCATTTCATGTTTAAGAGGCATCAGGTTTATAGAAGCAGTGTTGACCGAGGAATTTCCAGAATACTTGGTCATGGAAGGCTTTGGCTGAGGAAATGTCATCTAGCTGAACTGAGTGATAAGGAATCAGCTGTAAGATCATTAGGGATCAGACATTACAGACAGGGAATATTTAGAGTAGAAATAATTTTGGTGTCTTTAAGGAATAGAAAGAAGCCTGGTGTGGAACAAGATGGTAGGAAATGAAATGAGAAAGGTAAGACTGATTCTGATGAAGAAATTTGGATTTTATTTGAAATATATAAGGAAGCCATGGAATTTAAAGCAGAGTAGTGTCGTAATACTACTTACATTTTTACTCAAGTTTACTGAAAGAATATTAGAAATCTTTTTATAATTTTGGCTTTGGTGTAAAAGAATTTTATAGATATAAACTTTCCTAATAAATGTAAAATTTTCTAATATATTTATTGGCTTTTATGTGGCAAATGGATTGTGATGGGGGCAAAAGCGGAAACAGGAAGCCTGATTATGAAGCTGTTAGAGTAGTCCAGAGGAGAAATGATGGTGACTTGGTTTAGGATGGTGGTAATATATAGATAGATGGAAAATGGATGGAACCAGGGTGTGTTTTTAATATGTAGCCAACAGAACTTGCTGGTTAATTAAATATGGAGGAGTGAGGGAAATAGGAGTAAAGGATGAATCTAAATTTGTTTATGTTTCTATGTCTTAAATTGAGAAACCTAAAAGACATTAGATCTTTACTTGAAAGCTCATCATCAGTTACAGTATCAGGCTTTATGACATTTTTTTGTCAGCTGTCATATTTTCAGTACTCTTGTATTGCAGCCCTCCTTTTCCTAGTTTTTTGCAGGAGACGCTTAAGTGTTTTAGTAGGTGTTTTAGATGACTAAATTAATGATTCTCAACTAGCTTCTGGTCATAATAACTACTTTTTGATTAAAATTGTTCTAGACAATAATTTTATCATTTGGAGGGAAATATCATTCTACCTTACCCCAAATTATTTGTATTTCTTAGAGAAAATATTATCAAAATATTATGTTCTCAGGTGGATTACTATTCTATCATTCTCATTACTCATTTTTTTGTCAATTCTTTTTACTTATTATGAGTTCTTTTAATTTTTAGTAGTCATTATATAAACTTTATTGTATTGAATGAAGGGGATTGCTAGTGCAGTGATTAGAAACTCAAATTTACTGAAAGAATATTAAAATCTTTTTGTAATTTTGGCTTTGGTGTAAAAGAATTTTATAAATATAAAATTTCCTAATTAAAATTTTCTAATATATATTTTGATTTTAATTTTTTTCATTGGCGGTTGCTTAACATTTATCACGATTAATTAATAGTTGATATACTTTATAGGCATTTGAATTATATGTTTTTCAGTGTCAAAGTGCGATCAGCTGCTGTTACCTGTTTGAAAAACATTTTAGCCACAAAGACTGGACATAGTTTCTGGGAGATTTACAAGACAACAGCTGATCCCATGCTCATCTATCTACAGCCTTTTAGAACATCGAGAAAAAAGGTCTCTCAATAAGCATTTATTTATGGAATATCCACTATTTTAGAACAGTTCTATTTGCTGTGGTATAAGAATATCACATTGCTTAAATAGTATTATACTAACATTTAACCTTTTTTAGAAATAATTCCAACTGTATTTCTTGAATCCAAGGGATTTGTATTTTTAATTCTGGCAGTGTAGAAAAGCTGAGATAGGTAGCCTAGAGAAGTGATGATTGGTTTGGGGAATAGGAGGAGTTCTTAATGACAGGCCTTTTTTCTGAGTAGAAAACCCTGACTTTGATCCTATAAAAGCTATCGATCCTGGGTATGGTTTATAGGTATAGTAATCAACAAGCAAGTATTTATTTCTATAGCAAGTTTAAGTATCACAGCCACCTAGTGAAATATAAGATGACCTATAAATTTCTCCCTTTTACCATGCTATCATAACAAGGTTTCAACAAAAGTACTCTGTGAATGATGTTTAAGAACTCTTATTTCCCCTTTAGTCTAAGCATTCCTGTTTATTATTTTCCTTTCATAGAGTGACTGAGAAATGTACTATTGAGGTTTTATCAGTTTAATTTCAGGGCATATACTCATCATTGAAATAGTAACGTAAGACAGATGAGGCAGAGAGTTTGTGATTCCTGTATTATACTAGTAGTGAGTTGAGATTAGAACTCAAGTTTTCTGCTGTCTAGACCAGTTAGTTTTTGTGATACCACTCTGCCTCATATAAACATAAATGTATTTTAAATTTGTATGGTGACCATTGCCTCCAGATTTAGTTTTAACTAGATTTAGTTTGATTTGGAAACAGATTTGTTTGTCTAGATATTTGTTTTGCATAGAAAGGGCAAAATGTATTTCTGATTACCTTATTTTATTTACATTTCCTGATCACTTCCTTTCTAGTTTTTATTTTATTTTTTTCTTTGTAGTTTTTAGAAGTACCCAGACTTGACAAAGAAAGCCTTTTGGAAGGCTTGGATGATTCAAGCCTGTGGATTCCTCAAAGTGAAAATCATGATGTTTGGATAAAAACACTGACTTGTGCAATTTTGGATAGTGGAGGCACAAAAAGTGAAATTCTGCAATTATTAAAGCCAATGTGTGAGGTAAGAAGATTAATTGGTTTGACTTAATCCCTTTCTACCTTTGCTTTTATCATTTGAGTTTTCTCCTAATAGTTTTCTATTTTCTTTTTTTTCTTTATTTTTGCTTGTCCCATGTCATTTGGCTTCTGTGTACATTTGTGGCCTTTATGTCTAGAAAGTGTGCTGTAGTACAGTTCATCATTTTCATGCAATATTACCTACACTCAGCTGTTGGGAAACCATCAAACAGGGCATCTTTATTTAGCCATAATTTTATGCAGCAGGTTTCAGCTGTGGGGTAGTTACATACTGGATGAGTTCTAAAGGGTGTCGAGTAATTTGTTACTAATGATAGTTAAAATACTGATTACTGTAAATATTTATATTAACTAAAACTCTGCTCTTTGTTTACTTCTAATAAAGTCATTGTCATTTACTTTCCTTCATGGGCTTTCTTGAGTGAGAAAAAGGGATGGGGGGGTTGTAGTTAGCATTGCTTTTTTATTTTGAAGGTACAGTACACTATATTTCAATAGAGAATAAAGGTATGTACCAAATCAAACAAAAAGTTTAAACGCTTTTATCAAATGTGTAATCCAAAACAGCACAATATGATGATGCTCTAAGACTGAAAGCTAACCTAATTTATAGTACTGCCAAGCATGATTCAACAGAAATGAGAAAACAAAATATCTGACTAGGTCAAACATCAACCAGCGACAAATAACTGATAGGGAGGTGAATATTTCCATAAAGTGCACTCATTGAAAGCAGTTTAAAAAGGATTCCTTGTTTCTTACAGAAAAGATGTTGACAGAGAATAAATTATCACACTCTGCATTACTTCATGTACCAGATCAGCAGAGTTGGGGACACACACAGACACACACACACACACACACAGACACACACACACACACACACACACACACACACACAAACACACACACACACACACCTCATTTCTTGGTGAATAAACGTAAGATTTTTATAAAATTCTGACCTTGTGCCGGAGTGTAAATGTTCCAAATATACGTTTATATGCACCCCAATTCCTCGTTCCTTAAATTCCCTATTTCCAAAACTGACTTTTTGACTTGTCTTTAGTTAAAAAAGGAAAGAGTATTCAATTGGTAATCTACAATCTGCCTTATATGTGTGGTATATGATGAGTATATGAAGATGGTATCTTGGCAAAAATAAGATAAGTACCAAACATATTAAAGCACTTTTCTGCACTTGGAGTATAACACAAATCAATACCCAAATGTATACCCACAAATTGGGGTTTATTAAAAAATAAACATGGCTGTTGTAGCTCTTCACTGGGTATAGAAAATGTGCAAAAATCAAATTTTCAGCTTTTCTTATAAATTTTGACCCCCATTTTCATTATATCAAATTACAGAACTTCTGTTAACAGTAATGCTTTTCAGCTATGAAATTTTATTTATAATAATGACATAATAAATTTAATTGTAATCAGTATGCTATTTCACTATATGCAAATGGCCTAGACTAGAACTGAATAATTACATTGTAACTAACACATACGGTTTATATAGGTATTCTAGATTTGATTTTTTTTTAAACACTGTGGTACACGTTTTTTTGTATGTTTTTTAGCAGTATGCTGGGTTTATAACATTCATCTATCATTTTTTTAAAATGTCAGCAACGGGATGAAACTTCAAGTAAAATTTATTTTTTAACTTAAACTATTGACTGGATGTCTTTGTGTGTTCTAGGTGAAAACTGACTTTTGTCAGGCTGTGCTTCCATACTTGATTCATGATATTTTACTTCAAGATACAAATGAATCATGGAAAAATTTGCTTTCTACACACATTCAGGGATTTTTCAGTAACTGTTTCAGACACTCCTCACAAACGAGCCGATCCACAACCCCTGCAAATTTGGATTCAGGTATTCTATTAAATTTCTCACATTTATACTGTTAACTTTTCAGTTATAGAGAAAGATAGATTGACTCTCATCAAGATGTTTTGTTAGGCTTAATTCCATAACCTCTAAACATCTATTTCTTCATCTGTAGAATGGTGATAAATGTAGCAAGTTTTCAGTGAGATAATGTATGTAAAGCACCTAGGATAATACTTGGTGGATAGTACATTCTTAGTAAATTTGGCTATTAATAATGGAGAAGCTAATCGAGCATTCAGTATGTGTCGAGCACTGTGCTTAGCACTGGCAAAATAGATGTGAACAAGACACACCCTATATTCTAGCAATGGAAAAGGCAGACAAATAATTGCAACCAAATATTATAGGTACTATGTTGGAGGTATGGTGGAATTTTCATATTAAAGCTCTGGCCAACTCATTTTTTAAAAGTAATTTTTATATTACAAAATCATTAATTGTGGAAAATACATAAAAATCAGCATAAGTTTAAAAAGTTACCCATAATCTTATGATCTAGAGTAATGACAGTTAACATTTGGTATGTATCCTTCCAGTTTTTAAAACAAAAATTGAATTAAACTTTATTTATTCTTATAAACTACTTTTCATTCCATGTTCTATAAGTATTTCCCATGCTAAGAGCTTATAGCAGGAGAAATTCCACCAGGAATTAGGTACACATTATACAAATATGCATACTTGAGAGCTCATTATGGATCACTTTTTCAAACTTAAATTTAAAAAAATTCCTATTGTCTTAATTAAAAATTTAAACTTTACATCTAAAATTCTATTATCGAAATGGAAAGTAAATATATAGATTTCTATCAAATTAAAAGGTTTATCTTTTTTTTATTAAGTTTATTGGGGTAACATTGCTTAATACAATCATATAATTTTTAGGTGTACATTATCATTTGACATCTGTATATTCTATTGTGTGTTCACCACCCAAAGTCCAGTTTCCTTTAGCTACCATATATTGATCCCCTTTACCCACTTCATCCTACCCCTACCCCATCTCCCCCACCCCTCTGTATTTGACCCCCTTTACCCCATCCACCTGCCCTCTCCTCTCCCACCCCACTAGTAACCACTAATCTATAGTCCTCTGGTAACCACTAGTCTATAGTCCATGTCCATGAGTCTCTGTTTGATTGTCCTGCTCATTTGTTGCTTTTAGATTTATATCTTACATATTAGTGATATCATGTGATTTTCAACTTTTTCTGTCTGACTTATTTCGCTTAACATATTATCTCCAGTTCCATCCATGTTGTCGAAAATGGCAGTATTTCATCTCTTCTTATGGCTGAGTAATATTTCATTGTTTATACGTACCACAGTTTCTTTATCCAATCTATCATAGGACACTTCAGTCGCCTCCATGTCCTGGCCGATGTGAATAATGCTGCTATGAACATCAGTGTGCAAATATCTTTATATATGAGTTTTCAAGTATTTGGAGTAAATACCCACTAGAGAGATTGCTGGATCAGATGGTAGATTAATTCTTAATTTTTTGAGAGACCTCCATACTGTTTTCCATAGTGGCTGTACCAATTTGTAGTCCTACTAGCAGTGTATGAGGGTTCCTATTTCTCCACACCCTCTCCAACATTTGTTATTGCTTGTCCTATTGATTATAGTTATTCTAACAAGTGTGAGATGGTATCTCATCGTGGTTTTGATTTGCATTTCCTTAACAGCTAGCAGTGTTGAGCATCTTTTCATATATTTGTTGACCATTTGTATGTCCTCTAAGGAGAAGTATCTGTTCAGGTCTTCTGCCCATTTTTTGATTGGATCATTTGTTTTTTGTCATTATTGAGTTGTATGAGTTCTTTGTATATTTTGGATATTAGGCACTTATTGGAGGTGTTGCTTGCAAATATATTTTTTCATTCAATAGTTGTCTCTTTACCTTCTTGACGGTTTTTTGTTTGATGTAGTCCCATTCATTTATTTTTGCCTTTACTTCCCTTGCCTTTGAGTTCAAATTCATAAAATCCTCTTTAAGTCCAAGGTCCTTGAGTTTAGTTCCTATGCTTTCTTCTATGCGTTTTATTGTTTCAGGTCTTATATTCAGGTCCTTAATCCATTTTGAGTTAATTGTGGTGTGTGGTGATAGACAACAGTCTAGTTTCATTGTTTTGCAGGTGGCTTTCCAGTTTTCCCAGCACCATTTATTGAAGACGCTTTCCTTTCTTCACTGTACGTTTTTGGCTTTTATGTCAAAAATCATTTGCCCATATTAATATGGGTTTACTTCCGGACTCTTGATTCTGTTCCACCGGTCCGTGTGTCTGTTTTCCTGCCAGTACCATGCCGTTTTGATTACTGTCACTTTGTAGCATAATTTGAAGTCGGGCAGAGTGATGTCTTGTTCTTTTTTCTCAAGATCGCTTTGGCAATTTGGGGTCTTTTGTGCTTCCATACAAATATGATGATTTTTGGTTCTACTTCTTTAAAAAATGCTGATGGGATTTTGATGGGGATTGCATTAAATCTATATAAATTTGATGATCTTTTGTTGTATATCTTTAAATTTTTGATGGAGAATTCATTAAACCTGTGTAATGCTTTAGTTATATGGTCATTTTAACTATGTTGATTCTTCCAATCCAAGAACACGGAATATGTTTCCAATTCTTCATATCTTCTTTGATTTCTTTTAATAGGGTCTTGTAGTTTTCATCATATTAGTCCTTCACATGTTTTGTTAAATTTATTCCTAGGTATTTTATTCTTTTCGTTGCAATTGAGAAATGAATTATTCTTTCAACTTCTTTTTCTTTCACCTCATTGTTAGAGTATAGGAACGCTATAAGTTTCTGAACATTGATTTTATATCCAGAAACTTTACTGTATTTGCTTATTGTTTCCAGTAGTGTTCTTGTGGAGTCTTTACGGTTTTCAATACAGAGAATCATGTCATCCACAAATAGTGACAGTTTGACTTCTTCACTTCCTATCTGGATGCCCGTGGTATCTTCCTCTTGCCTAATTGCTCTTGCTAGGACCTCCAGTGTTATATTGAATAAGAGTGGCGATAGTGGACAGCTTTGCCTTGTTCCTGATCTTGGAAGATTTTTAGTTTTTCACCATTAAGTATAATGTTGGCTGAGAGTTTGTCATATATGACCTTTATTATGTTAAGGTACTTTCCTTCTATACCGATTTTGTGTTTCGATCATAAATGGATGCTGTATCTTATTGAAGACTTTTTCTGTATCTATTGATATGATCATATGATTCTTATTTTTTAATTTGTTTATGTGGTATATCATCACATTAATCAATTTGCTTATGTTGAACCATCCTTGTGCCCCTGGGATGAAGCCCACTTGATTGTGGTGTATAATCTTTTTAATATGTTGTTGTATTCGGTTCGCTAGTATCTTATTTAGGATTTTTGCATCTGTGTTCATGAGAGATATTGGTCTGTAGTTTTCTTCTTTGTGTTATCTTTACT